TAAGCAAGGACTTGAAGTAACTTCGTCCTTGCGTGATGAGTTTAACTTCAAGGGGTTTGAGGCTTTTGTCAAATGCGAGGATCCAAATGCTAATTTGTATTCTTTTGTTGGAACCATGGAGCTTAGGGGAGCCAAATACCCTCTTTCACTGCAACAGCTTCTTCTGAGAGACTCAAAACTCAGGAACACAGATTTCATCTTTGGAGCGGTTATCTTCACGGGTCATGACACAAAGGTTATTCAGAATTCAACAGATCCTCCATCTAAAAGAAGCATGATTGAAAAGAAGATGGATAAGATTATCTACCTAATGTTCTTCATGGTGGTTACTATGGCATTTATTGGTTCTGTTATCTTTGGAGTTACAACAAGAGATGATTTCAAGGATGGTGTGATGAAGAGATGGTACTTGAGACCAGATAGCTCCAGGATCTTCTTTGACCCCAAAAGGGCTCCCGTTGCTGCGGTCTATCATTTTCTAACCGCGATTATGCTATACAGTTATTTCATTCCTATATCCTTATATGTCTCAATAGAGATTGTTAAAGTTCTTCAGAGCATCTTCATCAACCAGGATATTCACATGTACTACGAAGAAGCTGACAAGCCAGCTCGTGCACGTACCTCTAACCTGAATGAAGAACTTGGGCAAGTTGATACAATTCTTTCAGACAAGACGGGAACATTGACGTGTAACTCCATGGAGTTCATCAAGTGTTCTGTTGCAGGGACAGCTTATGGCCGTGGTGTTACAGAGGTGGAGTTGGCTATGGGGAGTAGAAAAGGTGGTCCTTTGGTGTTTCAGAGCGATGAGAATGATATGGAATATAGTAAAGAGGCAATTACTGAAGAATCGACGGTGAAAGGATTCAACTTTAGAGATGAAAGGATAATGAATGGAAACTGGGTCACTGAAACTCATGCTGATGTCATTCAGAAGTTTTTCAGATTACTCGCGGTATGCCATACTGTGATACCTGAAGTTGATGAAGATACAGAAAAGATCTCCTATGAAGCTGAGTCGCCCGATGAAGCAGCATTCGTTATTGCAGCAAGGGAGCTTGGGTTTGAATTTTTTAACAGAACTCAAACTACCATATCGGTAAGAGAGCTCGATCTGGTGAGCGGCAAACGAGTTGAAAGGTCGGTCTATCTCCTCTACTTTATTGTATTATGCTATCAAAAGCTTATCGGTTTAATCTTACTTGAGTGAAATGGTTTTGTGTTTCAGGTTGTACAAAGTCTTGAACGTTCTTGAGTTCAACAGCACGAGGAAAAGAATGTCAGTTATTGTGCAGGATGAAGATGGAAAACTCTTATTACTTTGTAAAGGAGCAGATAAGTAAGTGACCTTTGACTTTAGAAAACCTTTTCAAATAGATTTTGAACTGATTTGTTTGATTTGTTTCGTTTTCTAGTGTTATGTTTGAAAGACTTTCCAAGAATGGTAGAGAGTTTGAAGAGGAAACACGGGACCATGTGAACGAGTATGCTGATGCAGGGTTGAGAACTTTGATACTTGCATATCGTGAACTTGATGAGAAAGAATACAAAGTTTTCAATGAAAGAATCAGTGTAGCCAAGAGTTCAGTGAGTGCTGATCGAGAATCGCTGATAGAGGAAGTCACCGAGAAAATCGAGAAAGACTTGATTCTTCTTGGAGCTACTGCTGTTGAAGATAAACTTCAAAATGGAGTAAGCAAACCACTGATGATATTCATATAATCAATTTATAGTTGGTGGATTGAAATGTTTTAACTTCTCCCTTTATCCATAATTTCTTGCAGGTCCCTGATTGCATTGACAAGCTTGCTCAAGCAGGAATAAAGATTTGGGTTTTGACTGGTGACAAAATGGAGACTGCTATCAATATTGGGTATCAATTTCTGGGTATCACCCTTTATATTATCTACTCATAAGTTCCTACATACAGTTTTTCTTCAATATTTCCACTCTATGAACTCTTTGTATGTATGTCTTTGACAGATTCGCTTGTAGTTTGCTCAGACAAGACATGAAGCAGATCATAATCAACTTGGAGACCCCTGAAATCCATTCACTAGAAAAAACCGGAGAAAAAGATGTCATTGCAAAGGTAAAAAAGTAACCAAAGCATTGATATTTCGCGGAATAGTATTAGCTTAAGATTATATTATATGAATGTATCAATGTGGCTAGTTTTATCTTGCAGGTATCAAAAGAAAATGTCTTGTCACAGATAATTAATGGAAAGGCTCAGTTAAAGTATTCTGGTGGGAACTCTGATGCTTTTGCTTTAATCATTGATGGAAAATCACTTGCTTACGCGTTGGATGATGATATAAAGCACATCTTCCTAGAGCTAGCCGTTGGTTGTGCGTCTGTCATTTGTTGCCGTTCATCACCGAAACAGAAAGCTCTGGTTAGTTTTTTAACTTATTCTTGGGTATACTTTTGCTGCTGTCAAGATTTTCACAAGATGTAAATCGCAATGTAGGTGACAAGACTAGTAAAATCTGGCAACGGTAAAACGACATTAGCAATTGGTGATGGCGCGAATGATGTTGGAATGCTTCAGGAAGCAGATATAGGTGTTGGTATTAGCGGTGTGGAAGGAATGCAGGTTCAGTTTAGATTTGTTTTAACTATCATTTGCTGCTTTTCGTTGTGTGTTTGTTTTTTTGTGTGGATTTAATCCTGATCGTTGTTCTCAGGCTGTTATGTCCAGCGACATTGCGATTGCTCAATTCAGATATCTGGAACGTTTGTTACTAGTCCATGGACATTGGTGTTACAGGCGGATCTCGACAATGGTAAATATATTTCTACATCTTCAGATTGAGACCAACCTTTTGTGGCATGAGTCTTGACATAATCAATACTTTTGGCCTGACTAGTTTTCCCTATCTCACAGATTTGCTACTTCTTCTACAAGAACATTACATTCGGTTTCACACTCTTCTTATATGAAACATACACAACGTTCTCATCGACACCTGCCTACAACGACTGGTTTCTATCTCTTTATAATGTCTTTTTCTCGTCCCTTCCAGTTATTGCTCTTGGTGTCTTCGACCAGGATGTCTCTGCACGGTATTGTCTAAAGGTAAACTTATTCATTGCATTACAACATCTTTATCTTCTCACCGGTCAAACAATTTGTGTCAACTTCTTCCTTTTTCTTGGTTTTGCAGTTTCCGCTGTTATACCAAGAAGGTGTACAGAATGTTTTGTTCAGCTGGCGCAGGATACTTGGCTGGATGTTCAACGGATTTTACAGTGCAGTTATCATTTTCTTCCTCTGCAAAAGTTCTCTCCAATCTCAAGCTTTCAACCACGATGGAAAAACCCCGGGAAGAGAAATACTAGGCGGGACAATGTACACATGCATTGTCTGGGTTGTGAATTTGCAGATGGCATTGGCTATCAGTTACTTCACTCTGATCCAGCACGTTGTGATTTGGAGCTCCATTGTCGTTTGGTACTTTTTCATCACGGTGTACGGAGAACTCCCATCAAGAATATCAACCGGTGCATATAAAGTCTTTGTTGAAGCTCTCGCGCCTTCACTTTCTTACTGGCTCATTACTCTCTTTGTGGTTGTAGCGACGTTGATGCCATACTTCATCTACTCTGCACTTCAGATGAGCTTTTTCCCAATGTACCATGGGATGATACAGTGGCTAAGGTACGAGGGTCAGTGTAATGACCCTGAGTACTGTGATATGGTAAGGCAAAGATCAATAAGGCCTACAACAGTTGGGTTCACCGCAAGATTAGAAGCTAAAAAGAGATCAGTGAGGATATCTGAGCCTGCATCATGACAACGGAAACTAACCAAACATCAACCTGTCTCCTCTTGAATGGTTTTTTTCATATTCAACTGACTCGCAGAACGTAAATAGAACCATAAATATATGGAAGTAAGAAGCTTTCTTTCTTCAGACTGGATCGATAAAGGCTGTCCAACCAGTTGTTGTACATTCTGATTCTTGCTGCCTTGCCCGGTTACGAAAGGAGATCTTACAGTTAAGTCCAGTGAATTATGTTTACAGAACAGCTGAAGATGATTATACATCAGAGTCTCAGTAGAGAGATTTCCAATTGTCTTTTCTCTTCTTTTGCTCTTCCAAGATTGCCATTAGTCCTTTACTTTTTTACTGTCATTCTCAATCCTAGAGAACATGGAGAATGCAAAGATAGGGAAGTTAAATACCCCTTTGGTTCGATCCTCTTAACGCTTCATTATTTGGATTCTTGAATCCAATAAGACATCTTGTGCAATGAGCAATGACAAAGAATGATGGTTGTTGCTGTATTTAAGTATTTCGTATTGTGAGTTTCCGAAATCCACATCGTTTGCAGAGTCTCCTTGTCTCCAGAAACTACCAAACACAAACTCTCCTTGCATGGAAAGTTCCTGCATCATCTCCTCAATATCTTCCATGCAACTATATCTCGACCCATGCTCCTCTCTGCAATCATCCTTCTTTGTCGGTAGGACGATTTCCGCGTTTCTTCTCTTCTTTCCTCGAAGCCTTCTGGTAACAAATCTCTTCATCTTCTGAGAAAGTTTACAAGGAATCTTAAAGAAAACAAAGATAAAGACTTGTAGAACAAAGCACTCGCAGCAGCAACAGAAGATAACACAATCCGCTGCAAAAGCACCACAATCTTCTTTCATTATTACTCAAAGGTGCATTAAAAAAAAAAAAACTGTTAAGGTAACAACAAAGATATAAAGGAAGGAAATGGAAGAAAACAGAAGTTAAGAGGTGACATCAGATTGTGTCAAAGGAATATGTTCCTTGCCAATATTGGTATCAACAAATGCAACGCAAAGCAACACCCATGTGTTTGTTTTTACACATATTACAGAATCACATGTGATATGAGACGCTCTTAGAAGCTTTGTTTTCGGAAAGCTTGGACGTCAAAACAACTAACAGTTTTCTTTGATTCTACTACTCTCCAACAATGGTAAATCGGTCTTTCTGCATCTAGAAACTGACACAGTGAGACAAATTGAGCCTTATTGATTTATCATAAGTAATGTCACAGAATGTTCAAACATGAACGTATAAGTATGAAAAAAAATAGATACAAAAGCAATCTCATGTAAGAAACAAAGCCTCTCTTGTACCAGAACATAAGTATTTACCCATCTATCCTTTTTTTCTCATCTTTCTGTTCAACCACTAGCTCCTTTGTAATCCTCTGTTTCTGAAAATTGGTTTGGTAGTCTCTTTAGTTTTCACCACAGGGAAACAAAACATGAACACAAATCAAGAAAAAGCAAAAATAAAAAAAATCAGAGGGAGATTCTTACTGTTTCAAGATCTCTGAGAAGGTTCTGCTTTGATATGAACAGGATGTGCCGGTTTGAGGCGCGAAAGATGGTGAGTTTTTGAGACAAAACTGGGATATTCTTGATGGGTTGTTGCCACTAATGGCGAGAGAAAAAAAAAACAATCTGTGTATGATATTTACACGTTTTCGTCTCTGCTATTGTAACTACTATGTGTGAAAAAATCTGTACTGTAATTTTGGCTACCAAATGCCATTCTCCTAAACAATCTGATCTCTGCTGACTGTTGAGCTGAGTTAAAGACCTCGCTTTCACCTAGTCTCATTCCGTTGGTAAGGTCTTCCGCAGCTAAACTTTCAAAAGCTCTCACAATCTGCAAAATATATATCAAGATTCCTTAAGTTTTAAGCAAATAAACTCATATCAAGGAAAGAAGAAAAGAAAATGTTTGTACTTGTCCCATCCGAGGTCTCTTTGTAGCTAAATGGCGTACGCAGGCTCCCGCTGCTTCAATCATTCTAAACATTTCAGATTCGACATAGTTTCCTCCAAGCTTGGGATCTGCTAAAGAAACAAATTCCTCGGTTTCTATGGCATGACTTATCAGAGGCCGGGCCTGAAAAACAAATAATGCAAAGGTCAAATCAAACTTCTTGAGGATATGAAAGAAAAGTTCGAATAGCGGGCGTACCCATTCAACAAGGCTCTCGTCTCCCAGTGGTTGCGATGTATCCACCGGTTTACGTCCAGTGATTAACTCGAGCAGAACAACTCCAAAGGAGAATACATCTGATTTCTCTGTTAATTTTCCACTTGATGCATATTCAGGAGCCATGTAGCTAAAGTAGATGAATGAAAAATATCAACTAGATGCCAAAATATGCAACCATCTAATCAAACAAGGTAAGCACCTACCCAAATGTTCCGATAACTCGTGTGGTGATATGTGTGTTGCAATCAAGAGCTAATCTTGCAAGACCAAAGTCAGAAACCTACAAAAAAATGAGAGATCAAATACTGTTTTAAGTCACAATGTAGCTGAAACCTTGATAATCCAGAATAGCAAACTAATGTTGTACCCGAGCATCAAAGTTTTCCTCTAAAAGAATGTTAGACGACTTAATGTCCCTGTGAATGATACGCGGGTGACCTGACAATAGACAAATGTTTACCATTAAGAAATATGGAATTAACCATCCAAAGTAAGAAATATGATTGAAAAGGTTAAGCAATAACTTACAATCTTCATGGAGATAAGCTAGTCCACGAGCCGCCCCAGCCGCAATTTTAACACGTGTTGCCCAGTCCAGAACAGATTTTTCTCCTGCTCAAGAGACATGGTAGATAGTGTGAGGACCAGTGTTGCGTGTATATATGAAATGTAATCTCAGAAATGTTTTATCCTTACCATGAAGGTGGAAATAAAGGTCATTGTTAGAGACATAATCATAGATAAGCAATCTGCGGTCACCAGAGATACAATGTCCCACGATTGAAACCAAATGGCGGTGATGAATTCTACTAAGAGTCTCAACTTCAGCTTTGAATTCCCGGTCACCTTGTCCTCCACCAATTTTAAGTTGTTTGACAGCAACTACTCTCCCATCCGGTAATATTCCTTTATATACACAACCAAATCCTCCTTCACCTAATAGATTTTCTTGTGAAAAATCATTTGTTGCCTTCACAAGTTCTTCGTAGGAAAACAATGCTTTTGAATTGCCTAAGCCACCAGATTGTGATTGTGAGAAATATGTTTGATGACTGCCCGAACGCTTTTCTCCTAAAACAGGTGCAGATGACTGCATCCTAAAAAAAGCTGAATCTGGACATAAGAATATCAAAATGTAGTGAGAATCAAGAAACACAAACACAAGAAACAAGTTTAACATCTTAATGTAACAGTTTTAAGAATTCCTATCAAACTAATACCTGATCTTGCGGTAGAGCTCATTGGTGATGGCGTAACATCGCCACCACTAACAGCTGAAAGTCGTTTTTCTCGTCTTCTCACGCACCAGACAAAAATACCAATAAGAGTGAACACCACAAGTGCCACTGCTACACTGATACCAACAACAGCCCCAGTACCAATTCCACTACCATTAGTAGAATTTGGAGCATCAAGAGGAGGCCTGAGAGTAGGGTTGTTTTGGGGTGGATTATCAGAACCTGGGACAAGTATTTCAGGAGGAGAACGTGGAGGAGAAGAGAATGTTGGTGGTGGAGAATTTGGACTTCTTCTGGGAGGTGGGGGTTTAGTATCCTCTGGTGGTGGAGGAGGAGATTGAGAGGGACGGTCTGAAGGCGGTGAAGGAGGAGGAGGAGATTGAGTGGGAGGGTCTGAAGGCGATGAAGGAGGAGGAGGAGATTGAATGGGGCGGTTTGAAGGCGGTGATGGAGGAGGAGGAGATTGAATGGGACGGTTTGAAGGCGGAGGAGGAGGAGGGGAGCGATCTAAGATTGGTGGTGAAGGCGATAGCCGTGGAGGAGGAACAGATGCAGGAGGTGGAGGAGAAGAAGGTAATGGTGGGACTAATGCAGGTGGTGGAGGCGGAGGAGAGGCTTGCGGTGGCTGCACAGATGGTGGTGGCGGTGAAATTGAAGGAGGAGGTGAAGGGACCACTGGTTGTTGTGGTGGTGGAGGAGAGCTCTCAGGTGGTTTTGGCAGTGGAGGAGGAGGAGCTCCATTTGCAACTGGTGGTGGTGAGGTAGTAACCGGAGGAGGAGGAGCTCTATTTGGTGGCGGCGCTGACGGAGGAAGCGGAGATGTCACTGGTGGTGGTGTAGCCGGAGAAGTAGCATTGTTACTTGGAGTAGAATTATTCAGTGGCGGCGGCGAAGCCACCGGTGGGGAATCTGAAACCGGAGGCTGTACCGGTGTCGTTGCCATCTCAATTCCGATCAACAAATCAACTTCTCATCCAAAAATTTAAAATCTTTCCTCCAAGAAACGATCAGAGACAATGATCAATCACCAAATCAACAATCAAAAACCTAAAAGTCCCAGACTTTTTGAGTATGACAGTATCCTGAAAGCACCAAACTTTACCAGCTAAGAACACTAAACGTGAAGAAGTAGCAAACTTTCCAAATCACAACACAGCTAATTTTCTTTGATTAAACCCTAATTTACTCAAAAACACCAAGCTTCAAGACAAAACAGAGAAGACGATGTAATAGATCAAACCCAGATCGGCCGAGGAAAAAAAACACACAAATTTGCTTGCTTCAACCAAAATTCGAGATCACTGAGATTACCCAATTTGATTGAATATGCAATAACCTCAGATCTCATAACGGAAACATCTCCGTTATAGAACTTCAGCCATTGAAGAACAGAGCAAAAAACACAAGTGGCTAACTTTGTCTTGTCCCTTCTTCTTCTTCTCTCAAACTTCGAATCTTGAATCTGAAATAATATATCAAAGTTTCATTCTTTTCACTTTCTTCCGAGCTTGAAAGTTTGATTTCTGAGAATTTTTTTTTTTTCCAGCGTCTTCTCTACTCTCTGAGAATGCTTCAATGCTACGTTAAATCAACGGTCAAAGAAATTGAAAGTTTTAATTGTTTTTAAGGAAATGAATTCAATTTGTTTCCATAACCGAACAAAATATCAAATTAGCTACTTTACAAATTTCACCGTAAGCTTTTTTAAAAAAATATATTTGTTTTGTTTCATTTATATTTTATTTAAGCTTTTACGCGCTTTGTCATCAATAGATCGGTGCTCATAATAAGCAAAGATGAAAAATCAATTTAATATACGAAGATTTTCACACCTAAGAAAAAAAAAGAACTTTGAAAATTAGCTGAATTTACAATGAGTTAATTTGTTTAGTACACATCGTTTTAATAAAACAATATTTATCATATTCAACACTATATTGATTCTTGTTTTAATTATGTCGAAGAATAGTAATAAAATAATGTAGCTTGATAATTTAGAGATTGAAAAACAAATTTAGGTTTGGATTATTAAGAAGCTCAAAGTTTTTATGGAGTTCATGTAGTAATCGGTATAGGAAAATAAATTAGTGTATATAATTTCAAGATGGTGTTATTTGGTGCTATTTTTTCTAGTACAATCTCACGCTAAATTGATTCTTAAATTAAATTGTGTATTATTTTAGTGACAAGTAGTTTGCTCAATAGTAATGGCGGTTAATTTTATATTGAAATGTGGTTCTAATATTTACATATTTAATATTTTCTGTGAACTATCTCAAGTTGACTTTTTCAATATGTTCCAAGATGTGTTTAACTTGACCGCAAAAAAAAAAAATTAAAATTCTCGGTTGCAATATATATCTTTTTATACAACCAAAAATATTAGTAGGTCTTTCATTTTGTAGCACATGACATCTAAAGGACAAAACTATATAAAATAATAGAGGATTGGAGGGAATACATTTATCAATTAGAAGAAAAAAATGTCTAAGGACCTCATTCTTCGAACTTCAAAGATTATGATGAGAGCACATATGTCATCATCGGGTCGTCTTCACGCTAATCTTTACATAAACGAACACTACACATCAATTTGGACAACAGAAATAAGATTGGAAAAGTTAATGTTGAAACGGTCCAAATATTCTGGGTAGAAAAATGAAGAATATTTCATGTTGGATGGTGTGTTAGATAATATAAAACACGTGGTTAACCAACAAATAATGAAAATTTGAATAGAAGCATTTGCCACATAATTATAAACTAAACCACATTATCTATGTTTTAATAATATTCAAGTGGGAATTTCGGAGATTCACCAGACGGTTGGATCGTGGTGATGGTGTTCACTAAAGAATATGGATATTTAGTGAACCTAAGGAAATTGTGTTTAGCTAATATTGTCAAACTAATATGAATAGATCATCAAGTCCCCGAAAACGTAAAAATAAATATATATTGATCATCGGTTTTCAAAATCGTAAAATGTTTTTGATCTTACAAACTCAGGGGCCGGTTATGATCCTATGGATGTCGGTCCGGAAGATACATCTCAAATGCAAAAAGTTTCACAAAAGTGCTACGGCCAACGGTGAAAGGGAGAGACACTTGAGAGTTGAGAGTAACATGAAATACGTGTCGCCGTCAATACCTTAAAACCCCAAAAGAACATTCACCAATCCGTGATCCCAAAACATTCCAACTACTCTTCTTTTTTTTGCTTTCCCTCTTATTTGTTGTTGTTTTACAACACTCTCAATCCTATCTCACCATGTGCCATTTCTCCATCATGACTTGTGAACAAGTCCTAAATTTAAAGAAGAGAGAAAATATTTTAATTTTCTATTTACTAGGACATGTGGTGTGAGAGCTAAGTGAGGATCTTGACGTTAAAAACAATTATAATCATATGAGTGAACGCACTTTGTTTGATCCATCATCATTGCACAAGAGGTGTAACTCACAAACACCTGCCACCTCATGCTGTCTCCACTTAGATACTATTTCCAAACACAATTGCTATATTGACTAATAGAAATATATTCCTTATTCATATCATAGACATGTGTTCATGTGGATACCATATTAAGGGTCAAAGCGGTTTTGTTCTCTCCACTCTACTTTTCACATCAAGACATTGAAAATCAAGAATGGGATTGAAAAATGTAAAAGTTGATACACTTTTTCTCTTAGGGAACAAAATGACTAATGGATTAATGAGTCAGAAGATTAAACCCAAAAGCAAAATATATTTTATCTAAAAGACAGACATGCGAGAAAATATTGAGCTCTTGTTGAATGGCTGCAACTCCAAAGTTTTCATTTGCTCTCTGCATCATATATATCCGTTCTGTGATTTATCTATAAGGAACAATCAAAACAAAATAACATTCCAAAAGAGATTATCAACACCAACAAATGCATAAATCCACATAATACTCATGTCAATCAAAGCTTAACAACATTAAGAAAAAACAGCACCAGCTCAAACTATTCTCTACAACTTCATATCAATCACTGAAATGTTGAATATTTGGTCTCACTACTAACAGGAATCTTAGGTTCTCTAAGCTACCAAACTATTACATTTTACTCCAATGTACCATCAGCATGGTCACTACCTAAAACTACCTGAATCAACAACTACAAACTTTCTTCGATTCCTCAGTTTGGTATATATATGGTCTATAGTTTCAATTCTACAAATAAGATGTATAGGACACACAGATTGGAAAATGGTAAATTTTCTAAACACATAACCATATATGACTTGCTGTGATTATACGACATATGTCAGGATTCACTGCCTTATAGTCTATATGCTTACACATATCTCATCTCAATAGCAATTTCTATAAAGTATCGGTTCGAACAATTACTAACTAGTATCAATTTACACCACTCTTCACTGCAAATGATAATGAATTAACTTAACCCTAAAATGCATTTTGCTTACCAAATCCTCAACATAAATGATGAAAATGGACAAGACAAGTCGACTAATTTATATAAGCTAAGAGTTCCAATAAACAATCAACATGTACGAATACAATGGAAATGCAAATAAACTAATTGAACCCTAAACCCTAACAAGAACAAGGAGCTATATATACATGCAAGTTCACTAATTTAACAATCCAAAATGATATCAATCACAGAATAAAGAGATCAATAAAGAGGATACACAAGATAGAAGCCGTGAGCAAAAGCACCGGCGAGGACAAGACCGAAGAGACGGTCTCTGAGAACTGGTTTATGTCTCAAAGACAACCGAATCAAAGGAAGAGCAGGCGCGTAGATGAGAGGTACCAAGAATTTGATCGGAGCTCCTTTCTTCTTCCTCTCCATTACTGGTTTTGAAGTATCGCTTGACGACGCCATCACGATTCACAGAGATAGAGATCCCTAATTGCGATTCCAAATTGTTTCAATTTAGGGATTTTTTTGTTTTTTTTTTTTAACTTTTGGAGGAAAACACTTTTTTTAGCATTTTGTAACCAAAAACAAAAAAAGTTTTTAAGGAATCCTTAATCATAAACGGACCTGGATTATAGGCCCAAGACAAGTTATAGATCTTGTAAATTTGTTGTCCCTAGGCTGTCAAGAATATGACGAAAACAAAAAAAAAATGTTGGCAAGAATATTTTTATATGTATAAATAAATAAATAGATAGTTTTTTTTTTTTTTTTTGTCATCCGTAATTAAATAGTGCTCAAAAGAGCCGTTCTTGTGGAATGTTGTTTACATAAGTGATATGAAGCGGTTCCGTACGAACTTTTCGTGCCAGATTATCCGCTTTTACATTTGCACAACGAGAAATTAAAGATAAAGAGAAGGTAGAGAACTCTTCCTTGTCGCTCTGAAAATCCTCCAGATACACTGAGAAGGCCGGCCATTCGGTTGGGGAAGACACCATCTTCACCAGGTCAGAACAGTCTGTAAGGAATGCTACCTCTTGATTATCTGCACCAATCATACACTTCATCGCCCAAAGGAGGGCCTCGAATTCGGCATGTAGCGGAGATAGGCTTCTACGGAGGTTGGCAGCTCCCATTGTTGATGGCTCACCGTTTGATGGTGTACAAAACCACCCTATCCCGGAAAACTTGTCGCTGTCTTTTCAGGATCCATCCACAAAACAACGGTATCCCGTAAAATCCGAATCTAGGGACACCCCCCTATCATTTTTATATATTTTATTGAATATCATTTTGAAGCTACAATCCTAAAGTTGTAACAACTTATTATGTAATGTATGTCAGATTGGGGAGTTCATCTTAATGTGATTATAGCACTAATGAGATCCTCTTCGTTTTGTTTTTGTCGTCGTCTAAAACATTATTTAGCATATATACAAAATTTAATTTGCTTTCTTATTACAAACGATAACGACAAGTGAATCTAATTCTATTACCGTGTATTCGACTCTTATCCGATTCATACTCGTTTTGGAAAAAAAAAATCAATAATTTTAGGAACGGATGAAAAGTATTGTAATTATATTACTTGTGGATAAGGTTCGAAAATCATATACTGTTTTATTTTTTAGTATCTAACTTATGACTTATTTTACTATTTGATTCATATAAATATCCATTTTATTAACGTTTTATAATATTACTAAAATACTATAATTAAATTATAGAACGACTATTAAGCCTAAAATAAATATATGTGCCGCACAAAAATATTTAAATAAATAAATAAATTCGAGAGAAGGTCTTGACTTTAAATTCAATTAGTAAATACTTAGACCATCCACATAGGTGAATTAATTTGAGTATCAGGAGCCCAATTATTATTTTTTAATGGATCAAAACATGAATTTGGGCTTGATATGTATCAGTCCAGTGATACCTCTGATACTGAGTATCGGGTGACGTGGCAGCATGCTATTGGTGAGAAAAAATGCATTTTGGCTGAAGCCGAGAAAAAAAAAAAAAAACATTTCCTTCTCGTTTCTTCTCCTCTCTTCTCTCACGAAAACCTCTCCTTTCGTTCTCTTCTACAATCCGCCATGGGTAAGGGTTTCCTTGCTCTCTCTTTCTCTCTCATCGCTCTATGTTTCTTCTTTCTCTCTCGATTTCTAGATTGTGCGCTTACTGGTTTTGTTAGTCGATCGGATCTTTTATTCTATTTTGGTTGAATCTCTGCCTCTTACTTTGTTATTTTCGATTATTAAGTGATGGATTCTTTGCTCTGGTAGTTAATCTTAAATCGGAAGGAGGATTATCGGCTTTTGGATTAGAAATCGGATTATGGTTTAGCTGATTTGTTGGTTTTAATTGTGAGGGATTGTGTATTTAACTCTCAGATAGTGAGGGATTGTGTATTTAGTGGAATTCTTTGCTAAATTTATCTGGTTTATCTAACTTTGCCATAACTTTAATATCTTTTTTTTGGACTTTGGTGATTTCAGCTTCTGAGGATCATGATGAAGTACATCCAGTCCATAGCGGAGGTTAAGCATGTTTTTTGCTTAAAATGCGTGTCTTAGATGATAGAGTTAATGTGTTTATGGAAATCCAATCAAGTTTATTGTTGAATATCGTTTTCCATTCTTTTGTGTTGTAGGTTGGTGATGTGTTGGTTAAAATTTAGGGAAGCTGGAAGGAAGTTTGATTGTTTAAACAGCTTGAACACTGTAAGAATTGGAACATAAGATTCACTTTTTATGTTGGCGTCAGGAAGTATAATTGTATGCCATCTTCCTGCTTGCAGATATTGTTAGCTTAGCAGAGTATATACTATATACTGGTTGTGGAAAAAGAAACAGGGAAGATGGATATCCAGATGTCTCAACAAGAAGGTACATAACTTAATCTCAGGTGACATAATACGTTTGCTTCATGCGCCAAAAGTTGTTGTCAAAATCGAAAGTGAGGAAGAGATGCTAGTTTTGCAAGTGAGTTTACTGAACATGTGCTATAGAAATATACTTGCCCTTTGGGAGAAGAGTCAGAAGACCGGAAGCACAGTTCTTTGTACGTTTCTTCTTCCTCTTGAGTATATATGTGAGATCTCTAGTAGGGACGATGATGGTCTGGGATAGTGGGATGTATTGGTAACTTGTTCGGAAGCTTTAAAGGTTTAAGCTGCAGTGCAATAACCATACCTTGGTGTACAACTGTTTTGTTATTTGGTTTCAGTTTCAAGCTTGTTTTTGTTATTTGGTTTCAGTTTTTGACAATACATTAATGATCATCAAATGTAAATTACTCGTTTCCGTATCAAAATCTGCTAGCCATCTTGTTTACCTTTGGTTTATAATTGCAGAGCCTATAATCTCTAGGGCCACATATATTCATTGTTAAGATATAATTGCAGAGCCTATAAGATTTGAAATATGATGACAATAAAGTCGACAAGGAACTAACTTGGCTTTAAACACTGGTGCAATATTTCTTGTACAAATAAATACGATCTCCAATTGAAATGTTCTTTATGTTCAAGTGTGATGCATCGTTTTTTTTTTTCTTTTAAAGTAGTGGGATGCATCATTGCAAATTGATATTGATGTCATGACCAAAGTCAGCCATATATAGCAACAAAATTATATATTCTTGTAGAACTTTGAAACAGAATAAAAGAAATTAAAATGGGTCACGTCCACCTTTCTTTGATCAACATAGGCTACCTCACCTAATAAACCAAATTGTTAACCTCATGTATAACTGGTTTCTTTCGATTCCTAAAACATTGATGTTCATCGACATCTTTTGGGAATATAGACTCACAGTTAGATTGATTCCCAATTAATTATGCTTTAACATAAAGCATGCCATAAGGAAATTAATACTTAAACTGCCCATGACCACACCAAGAAGAGATTAACTGCCTCTCATGATCCCTCATCAAGAACTGCCCATGTTCACAGAGATAAAAAAAAACCTACTCAAATCTCTCAAAAAACTAAAATATGAAAATTCCACCAAATTTTCCAAAATTTTTACTCCAATACATCCCACTTAGTGTATATTCTACGTTTTATGGATTGTAATATTACCTTTTGTAATCCTATGTTTTTATATATTTATTTTCGATTTTACAAATAATTTTTTTTATTAATGATACCGATACCGGTCTCACCACTGGAAACAGATTTATTACCAGTATCATAAAAAATCTCAAACAATAAACAAACATTAAAATTAATACTAAAAAATTGTTAATGATACTCATAGAGTATCAACTATGTGCATGCTCTTAGGCTTGAATGGTTGGTAGGTATGAAGCGGACCGGATTAAAGTCGGACTAGTCCGTACTAAATTTACCATTCAACAAATTAGAGTAGTATTCAACACTTTGAACTAATAAACTTTATACTATTATGCACTTCAAAGAAAACTCCAGATGTCAATTCTATTATTTTTTGGTTTATTCCTTACAAGTTCCATACCAACTCTATACCAATAAATGTGACCAAAGTTTCTTTATAAAATCTAATCGTCCTCTTTCCTATAATCGAGGAAGACTTATTCAACATGGACTTAGTCAACAAAGACTTCATTATAAAACTCGAGAACATGACCTTTTATTCTCCTCTAGAGCAGGATTATTAAACTGGTTTCTGAATTTTCTAAAGAAATTCCGGTTCTAGTCAATCACCATAACATTGTGGGAAAAAAATAACGGATACTATAATAATCCAAATACACTATGATTTGATTATGGTTAACTATTAAGTAAGTTTCAGAGGCGGCCACCGGCCACGTTAGATTTTTTTTTAATAAATTGCCATGCAAATATAAGATTTGGTATTCTATTCTGTGAATGGTTAGTTGGTCGATTCATGGACCTTTATGTGAATCTAATTGTTTGCGAAGGTGATGAATTTGATGCCATCAGATTCATCACGAAGATCTGTCTAAATTCGACAACAAAAACAAATAGATATTTTAGTAAATATCCAAAGTTAGAAAAACAAAGATTCTTTACTTATCACTCGTGTATATACTACATAGCATTCGTCTACTTTATTCAAAATTTCCAACCTAGGAAATAACATTTCTTGGTTACAAACAAAACGGACGAAAAATTTTCTTACACTCACATAACATTATTAAACCTACCAAAACCAAATCACGAGATGATTATGATACAGGAGTAGAAGTATTTGTATTTGTAGAGGAAGATGCTGCCGGCGAGTTACAACTTCTCTCCACCGAACGTTTTGGAGATTGCGCCACCGCAACCGGAGCATATACACCACCGTTGTTGGCTACATCAGACGGTTGTGGAAAATCTTGAGGCGATGGTACCCATATCCCTCCAACCACCACGAACTGTGGTTGTTGTGGGTTTCCATTACTCTGTGCCGCCATCGATGTTGCTGATGGCCTTCTTGTGTGAAGTCTATATTTCTGAAATATTACACAAAATGGCATTTTAGAAGAATTGAGTAACATTTCATTTGATTACCATAACATAAATTCACAAACGTGTAAATGTGTAATTATTAACATAAAAATGATTTGGAACATGTCTGAATATTCCACAAAATGGTTTGGAAAAATTGAGAAACTGAAATGATTATTAATGTTAAAAAAGATTAGTAACCTGTAAATGGCTTTTAACTTCGTCATTTGTTAATCCATCGACTTTCATATGATCTCTAATCTGTTTAGGCGTAGCAACTGCAAAATAGCCCAATAAAAATCATTAATTTAATTTAATTACGAATCACAAATGAGCCAATTAGAACAAAGATAATCCATCCAGTAATTAAATTTAATCTTAATTACCATGAGATCCTCCAAGCTGCTGAAGCGCGTTTAAGAATCGCCGGTGTAACTCCGGCGACCAGCACCGCCTTTGTTTTCTATGCGTTTGCGACTGCGATTGCTGCTGCTCTATCTGTCTCTGCTCCTCTCCCACTTTAACCAACTCACTTTTACCACCACCAGTTTCCGTCGTAGAACTCGTCGTCGTTGCCGGCGTCGAACTAGCTACTTTCACCGCCGGTTGCAAATCAGTCTCCAAAACGCGTTTTTTCTCCTTTTGAAACGGCTGAAACGCACCGCTTTTTGGTTTCACCTCCACCACTTTCGCTTTCTTAACTACACGCTCCTATATAATTCGATTCATACAAAACATAATCAAGATTTTTCCTCAAAAACAAGAACTAAAACTCTTTCAAAAAAGCTCAAAATTTTAAATACCTCTTTTGGGTTAAGATCTGGTGATGGAGTCCATAACTGAACAGATCTAAGCCAATCAGATTTCTTATTATTAGCAATCTGTTCAAGCTCTGGAGAAGATTCATGTTCACCATCTTCTTCTTCTTCACACAACGACCTCTTCTTGATAGGAATAAACTCTTCAAAGACAGGACCACCACAAACACTTGTGGTCTGTTCCGAACACTGTTCTGATGTTGTCGTCGTACTAGATAACTCCTTCCGACAAGCTTCGATCGCTACAGAAACAAAACAAAACAAAAAACCCATCAAGACCCATAAATTGATTTGTAAGAAACTTGTGTAAAAATTGAGATTTTGATTGGATTATTGTTACCTTGAGTAACAAGCTCTAAACATAAAGGAAGCTCGCGTTGAAAGACTTGGATTTTCTTTTGTTCTTCTTCAAGTGCTTCAACGTATTCATGACATTTCTGCATTTTCTTAGCGTAATCAATCTCCACCATCATTATTATTCTAAAGGGACCAAGAACCAAATGGGTAGATAGATCTATAGAGAGACGACAGCGAAGAAAGAAGCTTAATTTTCAATGGAGAAAGAATATTGGATCTTTAAAATGGAATCAAAACATAGAGAAATTGATTCCAATGTTTTGATTTTTGAAGAGATAGAGATAGAGAAAGAGATAGAGATAGAGAGAGAGGGTTTTGGTTTAGGTTTTGGAACAAGAAGTGAAGGGGATCGAGGTCGGGCCGTCGCGTACCTAAACGAATCTTTGAGAGTTAAATGTTTTTTTTTTTGGTAAGAGAAGGGTAAAATAGTAATTTTAGGAGGATGTGGTGTTTTGTTGGGTGAATATTCGGAGGATCAGATTCGATTATAGGTTCGCATCTCTTTGTATGGGCTGGAACTGACGTCACTATTCTCAATCTATTTAGCTTTTTTTTTTTTTAAGATAAGAACGAAGACTCAACCATTTTTCTTCTCCCCAAATTAAAAGATTCACACTCAAAAACAAGATTTTTCCATTAATAAATTTTACAAAATTCAGATTCCAGAGTTTTTTTTTTTCAACGATTTTATCCTTCATTTAACTTAACTATCATCATAATATAAGTGATTTTCTGTGTTTTCTATATGGACAAATCTATTCATTAAATATATGATTTAGAATTTCAAATTTAAAGATTTAGTTTATTATTATGCGTCTTTTCCATAAAATCGTAAAAATGACGTTCACCTAACAAAATATGCATTCATTAAATAAATTAAAATACTAGTATCTTCTCATAAGAGTTTTTTTTTCTTTAGTGACAATAAATCACTAATGTTATCTTAATTCCAACTCCAAATGTTATCATTCACCATTTATGTAACCAACCACTTGAATAAATATTTTTTAAAGATAGTTGATGTTTTAAATATCCCAGATTTCCGATATTTTAGAACGAATATAAAAATTTGAATTGGAAATGAGTTAATTTGGAGAAGGAATATTCTAAGGGGAAAAAAAGAATCACGAGAAAAAACAAAGAAAAAAAATAGAAAGAAGAATCTTTTGGAAGGAAGTGTGAGAATCACATTTGCCCACGCCGCATATTATTATTACCATTTTCCCAAACGACCTTTCATATTCCTCAAGAGCCAATTTCTCATTTGCCCGATGTTCACTCGCTTCTAAGCGCGCGTGCCCACGTGACCAAATATTCAATTGACGCAACCAGATTCTCTGCTTTTGTCATTCATTTATCTTATTGGTTTCGTCGTTATCTTTCTCTAGATTTTTTTTTCTTTGAAGAGAAAAAACAAATGGTTCTTTGATGGTTCGATTCCTTGGTCGAATGAGTTAAGGCATATGATAGTATTTTTGTATTTTTTTTAGATGCAGCAAGATTTTGGACTAATTTCATTCATCATAATCACCATTAACCAACATGGTCGGTCACCAAAATTTTATTTTATGGGTCTACGTCTACCTATGATATATGAAACTATTGGAAGCAAGATTGAAATGATCAACTGTTTCTTGTTAATCATCATGATAGGCAAATATCAGATTCATTACTCCACATGTTCTTTTAATCAAATCTGTTTTAAGAAAACAAACATATGAAATTTACACATAGAACTTTGTTGTCTCAGTTTTGATGGTTCAGAGAATCTAAATACATGTTTGGTCTTTATGTGAGAGGTGTGGGACATGAAGATTTAAACGAGATTGGCTCCATCAGTTATTACCTTTATTAACACATGATAAATTTCTTTTCCATGGGAAAAGAAAACAAACAATATTAGTTGGTTTGTGGTCTTATGACTGTTTGAAGATGGAGGTAAGATCTCCAACACATGTATTGGAGTTCTCTTCATAATAGCTATTGCATAGCCACAATTAAACAACGAAGTTAGGAGTGTCATTTAGAGCTGAAAAGAGACGGGTTAATCGGTTAATGCAATAATTGGTATAATTGGTAATTGGCACCAAACGCTAAATCATGTATCCAACCAGAAGCTTGACCGTGTGGAGGGTTTTCTAGTTCGATATGTGTTTCAGGCCACGGTTTATATGATATGGAGGGAGAGGAATGGTAGACGACACGGAGAAGATGAAAACTCAACAGATCAAATAATTCGGTGGATAGACAAACAAGTCAGAAACCAACTATCAACAATTCGACAGATGGGCGACAAACGTTACGAGGAAGGCTTCCAACAGTGGCTTCAATTAAGAGCATAAGTTTTGTTTTTATGTTTCTCTAAAGCTTATCGGTTATCTATTTCTTTCATACAACCGTTGCACAAGTTGTAAAAACGTTTATTTTTCTTTTGAATCTAATTTAACATTATATTCAAAAAAAATAAAAATAATTAGTAATGCACAAAAAACAGATTTTTTGGGTTAATCCATAGCGAACAACAATTTCGAACAAACTAAACATGTGCACAAACTACAGATTTTATGGGTTAATCCACAGCGATCAACAATCTCGAACAAACTAAACATGTGCTAATAATTCATCAATATGTAAACGTGATTTTTTATTTAAAATATCAGTTTAAAATTTTAGGTGAAACTTTAGATTATACAAAATAGCAAAGAGAGAAAGATAACATTTCCAAATACTATGTTGGAGCAATATTTTAAATATAAAAATCACGTTTACATATTGATGAATTATTAGCATTGAAGCAAAATAAAAAAGAAAAAAACGTTTTGATACCAATTTAGTTTTAGCATAATCTAATTAGAGTTTATGAATTTCTTCTCCTTTTCTATTTAGAAAAAAAAAGAACAATTACATTTGTTATATATAGAAATGACAGAACCAACTAGATGAAAACATTATAAACCGTCTATTCATACATATGCACAGCACATTGAACCGGCTCTAACCAATACTAACTAATTACAGGCAGCTTAACAGAATTACGAATGTTCAAGTGTTAAACAACCCTAAAACGACTAAACCCACCTCCAAGTAGGCCCCCCCAGAGCAACTAAACCGGAAATAGTTTATAGGTTCGAATTTCGGTAAACCGGGACAATCAGACAAAAATGGTGTTAAAACGCAGCGTTTTGAGGCAGAGGCAACGTAAAATTCCGTAAACCACCAATTTCTGAAATTTCTTCATTTATTCATGTGATTAAAATTGTTCGGTCCTGATTGTATCTGTGTTTTGGAGAGGCTTGAGAACTGAGAAGCATCCACTCGACAATGGAGACTGCGATTTGTGGGAGATTAGCTCTCGCACCATCCTCTCTCTTCAATTCTAAATCAGGTTTTCTTCTTCTTCTTCTCTATCTTTGGTTCCGTATCAACCAACACCTCTTTGTTCTGTTCAGAGTCTTTGAATCAAAGTTCGAAACTTTAATTAGTAATCAAATTCTGTGTATAATTTGCTCATGCCAATTGATTTACATACAGATTTTCTTGGTTGATATTGATTTGTGAGACAGTTAGGCGCAGAAAGAACGAGGCTTTAGCCTTTTACCTTGTCTGAAAGCAAATTGAATTGAATAAACAAAACAGAACAGAATTATAGGGTTTTTGATGTTGATGTCTATTTCTTACATACAAATTTAGGTTCGTTGAAGTGATTTTGATAAGAGGGGTTTTATAAAAGACATGTTGATGTTTTGCTCTTTCTACAAAGATTCATACACTTTTTAATCTTTGTGGCTTTTCTAGTTGTGATTTGGTTTCCAGCTATATTTCCTGGATTCTTATTAACTCTTAAGGCGTTAGGGAAGTTCAGAATTGCAGCAGCAACACACTTGAATCTTGAAGAAACATTTGGAATGAGTTTATGATCTTTGTTTCTCTGATGTCATGTTTTCGCATCACCTGCCATTTAGTTTCCATGGATATCTTCTGATAACAGTGGTTTTCTCTCTTACTTGATGTGTGCAGGGGACAAACATTTAGTCTCGAAAGGACCATGTGTGAATCGTGGTGTTCTCATGACCTTGTCTACATACGCTGCATTAGGTAAAGGAGGTGGTGTCTTGGACAAACCGATTATAGAGAAAACCACTCCTGGTCGTGAATCCGAGTTTGATTTGAGGTATTGCCTACAATAATCTGAATTTAGTTTCAAAATGCCAAATTCATATGCTTTCCTCAGCTCTAATTGAGGACATATTCTCGAAGAATGTATTGTAATCCGCCTGATCAATTTCGGTTTTTTCATAGTTTTTATCAAGAATTAGGCTGAAAAGTCCGAAAAATGCTTATTGTGGTTCTACTTTGGTTTAATATAGGAAATCAAAGAAGATGGCTCCACCTTACAGGGTGATACTACACAACGACAACTTCAACAAGAGGGAATATGTGGTTCAGGTGTTGATGAAGGTAATACCCGGCATGACTGTAGACAATGCGGTTAACATTATGCAAGAAGCCCACATCAACGGTTTGGCAGTTGTGATCGTCTGTGCTCAGGCCGATGCAGAGCAACACTGTATGCAGCTGCGGGGTAACGGCCTTCTTAGTTCCGTCGAACCTGATGGTGGAGGCTGCTGATACTAATTAAACTCAGTATAGATTTTCCCACCTCCCAGGTCTCTCTATTTAGTCAAAAAAATTTGTCTTTTTAATGTATATAATATCAGAAATTTGGTACCAGACTGTTACTATATGCAGTGAACCTTGCCCTACATAGATTTGTTGTTAAGTGTTTATGTTTTTCATAATGCAAATAACAAAACTTTTATTAAATCCAAATGGTGTTACAGATGAATCTTTCTGATTCTGTAATCACTAGTTAAATGTATCTAAGCAATTGTATGGGAGTGACGTGTTTCGGTTTCATCTCGCCAAAAAAGCATTCAAACCCAAGAAACCTGCAGTTTCAAGACATTGAGGGGATACCATATAGATGTATCAACTATCAAGCATCAACCGGAGTAAGAAGTGACTGGATGCCGAAAATAATGAAAAGCATTCCACCGGAAAGAGCCACCTGCGACAACATCAGACCCATTTGATCAAAACTCTTAAAACCGTAGAATGTTGCTTAAAGGAAGAGAGGGAATATAAAAAAAGATTACAATTCGTTCGGATATTTGAGATGCTAAGCTCTTGCCACCAAGCACAGCAGCTGTGGTACACAATGTTTGTGCCCTGTGCAAATAGAGAGATTAGTCAGACTAGAGAAAGGGCTATCAGTTTGATACAAACCATTATGTTGAAGACTACTTACAAAATTCCGCCAAGGACCACGCCAAGTGGATTTTCATCTGCAGCCAAACCAATAGTCGCAAGCTAGAAATAGAGCAAGTTACAGTGAGTATGTGAAGCATTATCTAAAGTAGAACCAAGCACAATAATGCAGAAGGAAAGTCACCTGACTCTTGTCACCCCACTCACCAAAGAAGTTAATTGAAAACGCCTTCAAAAGAGAGAAAAATGCGAATCAAGTTGCAAAAAGTCCACTATTTCTTTAAATAGAAATTCTGCACAGATTTTATATATTACCTTGAGAAAAATGGGAGAGAAGAATGCAGTAAGGAATGGCCTTTTCTGCTTTTTCTGTTCATCGTCAATCTACAACACAGAAATATATTATAAAATCTTCACGTACACTTAAGCAGTCTTTTATGATCTAGTTCCATACCTTACTGCTGTCTTTTTTCGATTGATCATTAGTCTTCTTCAAATCAGAATCCTAGTACATTGAACAAGTATCAACACCAAAAGCATTGTCTCTAAACATGAAAAAAGAAAAAGAATTACAAGAAGAGAAAAAGTACCAACCAGTTCTGCTTCAACTTCTGCCAATTCTTCAGAACCCCTGCCATATATAAAACAGATTTGGATGAGAAAATGCTACCTGAACATTTTTTTGGAAATAAATATTGTTCCTCAAAGTCATCTAAATTCTCTTACCCTCCTTCTTTAAAACCGTCCCATAAAGACCATAACCCGAAGCCAAAGAACAACAATGTTGTTATATGATGAGTCCATTTACGAGAGATCTGCAAATTGTATTTCGAATCAGCGTCTGTCTAATTCCAACTTCTTAGAGATTCTATGGTAACAAACACAATCATTTCACAATATCTTACCAGATTTGGAGCAGCCCAACCAAGTGTAGCAGATAATATAGTCATGACCTAAAAGTATAAGCAAGACATAAGCCTTTTCAAATCTTGAAGAGTTCATTGCATTAAGACATAGAAAAAAACTTACAATCAAAGCCGATAGACAACCAGCTAATACAAGTCTCCTAGGATAACGCATCGCCAAAATCTGATTACAGAGTAAAAACATTTAGCATATTACCACACAATAAAACATCTATGGAAGCTGCTTAAGGAGATAAATAGTTAGCTCATGTGACACTTCAAATTAAAAAATCAACAGATTTGGATCAAAGGACATAACCATTTCAGCACTAACAAGAAACATTGGCACAAAACTCTCCAAATTAAGAAAGAAACTTTCATATCAAATTATGAATGTTGCTAAAGCTTCGAGCTTTGAAGATGAAGAAGATGAGTAAGATGACTTACAGCAGCAGCGAAGAACGTTTTGTCACCAATCTCGGAGAGGAAAGTCATGGCGAGTGATTTAGTAAAACCCTAAAGAAACTTATTAATTAGCTTCGAATCCAAAAGTTAAAAAACTTTGAATTTTTCAGAGAACAGATTAAGCTTCCTACTGGGTTACGTACCTGCAAAAGAGAGCCCATGACTGCCGAGAAATTCACGGCGGAGCGATCTGTTGCCGGCGAGAGTCGCGTAAGAGAAGGTGAATGTTTTTTTGTTTATTCTTGGGATTTGTTTGGTGGGAGTGTGGAGAGCATATGGAAAATAAGATTCTCATTGGTTAGATCTTGCCACGTGGAAGAATTCGATTCGAAGATCTTGCTATGTAGGACCCATGGAAGCCAGCTTTGACAGTTGACTCGCAGAGTGTTCTGTTCATTTTATTATTGTTCATTTATTATTGTTCCATTGCTACTCCATTACCAAGACAAGAAGAATACTTTTACGACAATTTATTTTTTAGACATTACTACATTTCTTCAGTTGAAAAAAAAAAGACATTACATTTCTTCAACGTACATAGGAACCAAACATGAGTTATGGTATGGTTTTGTTACACAAAGCAGGAGGTTATGTGAAGAACAAAAAACAGATGGGACAATATAAGAATTTTATCACTAACAATGGTTTACCACAACAAATTCCTCACCTTGTGGATAAAAGCATCAACGATGTAGAACCAAACTCTGCTCCAAGGAGAATCAAAAGAGAGAGATACAAGTATTCCAAGAAGTATTGTCACATAGGCTGCAGCAAAACTCCAGTAGAAAGAAACCAAGTCTATTGAGGATTCATGAGCTTCCACTTCATTATCCTGTTCTTGAAAAGTGTTGTTGTTGCAGCTTCTGTTGGTTGGTTGTCCACAGAGAAGATGATTACCTAAGTAGCTTCGAGTATCGAAAGTGTTAAACTGTTTTCCCTGTGGAACGACTCCTGATAAGTTGTTATATGATACATTGAAGACAACTAAGCTGCTGAGATCTGTTAGTTGTGGTGGAATCTGGCCTTGTAGTCTGTTGAAGGAAAGATCAAGGCTTTCCATATTCTTTATATCTGAAAAGCTTTCTGGTATTGGACCTGATAAGATGTTGTGAGAAAGATTGAGAGCTTGTAGTTCCAGCAGACCTCCAAGCTCTATGGGGATTTCACCACTCAGCTCATTGTCGGAGAGATCTATTCCAAACAATAATTTGAGATTTCCACCCACGTAGGCAACGTATCGATGTTTTGTTGCAAATTGAATTTTAGCCTGGGTGTCTGCCACATAATCCATACCAATCATATCTAGAACAAGCAGAGATCTGAAGTATATACCAACTTTATCTGTGGAGAAGTTTCGTTCCTGACTAAAACTAGAGATGTAATTAATGCCAGAATGACGAATAACTCCGTAACCATAATAGAATCTATCCTCTTTCCCCAAACCAAATGATGTATTGCTAAGACATGAAGGTACAGATCCATTCAATCTGTTGTTTGAAAGATCCAAAAGGTGGACGTTTCTTAGGCCACACAACTGGCGAGGAATATGGCCTGTTAAATTATTACCCCGCAGGAGAAGAATACTGATGCTTTCGGTGTTGATGAACTCCGGTATATTGCCAGACAATCTATTGTTTCTCAGATCGAGTATTTCAACATCCGCTAGCAATGTGTCTGGAATAACCCCTGATAAATTATTGTCTTGCAAGAATAGCCCTGCATGAAATGTGAATTTGGAGTGTGGAGGTATACCCCCAGATAACATATTTGCAGACAGGTTCAGTAGCCGGAGATGGGATGTGTTGAACAAGGAAACAGGTATTTCACCTTCTAATGAGTTGTCTGAAAGCAGTAGTGCATACAATGGAATTTCCCCAATCCAACTTGGAATAGTACCCGTGAGATTGTTATTCGAAATGTCAAGCAGTGACAAGGATCTCAAGCTTCGCAAACCTTGTCCAATCTTTCCTGTAAACTGATTATTGTCCATAGACAATATTTCTATATCTGTAAAGTTGGTTGATTCTGCGAAAATCTCTCCACTTAGTTTGTTATGTGATACCTTAAAGACACTCATTGAAGAACAACCTTGTAAAATACTTCTTGGCAGCTTCCCGCGGAAATTGTTGTGAGATATATCCAAAAATTCAATCCCGCCTATGTTACCAAAGGAAAATGGCACATTTCCTTGAAAACAGTTCTTGGAAATATTCATATACAGTAATTGAGGAAACATCCATCCAATGTTCTCAGGAACCAGCTGACTGAATTCATTAACTGATATATCCAAATAAAGCAGGCTATGAGCAGATTTCGGTAGCTTAAATTTCGTAAAAGAATTATTCCGTAGAAGCAAAGCTTCAAGTTGGGAGGAACTTTCTCCAAGTTGCAACATCGTAGTGCAATAACACTCAACTGAAATTTTGGCTTCCAAGAACTTTCCAACACTACTTGAAGAGAGTTGGATTTTGAAGAAAGCCTGAACACCCTAAGCTCTGAGAGGTTTGCTATCGAAATAAATGAGAAGAAGCCTTCGAAGCTATTATCAAACAGCGATAAGTACTCAATAGAATTAAGGCTACCAAGGGCAGATGGTACCTCCCCAGTCAATTGGTTCGATGAGAGATCAAGGACTCGAAGTTTACTCATGCTAGTAATACATAAAGGAAACTGACCTACTAGTTTGTTTTTACTGATATCGAGCTCTTGCAAATTCTTCAACTTGCAAATCCCTACAATGACCAAATGCAGAAGAGTTTTGTTTTCGTGAATTCACCACAATTCTCATTTTTTTTTTCAAGTGAAAAATATTTTAGTAAACTTGCCTTGCAAATCAATTGAGCCAGAAAATTCATTATCACTTAGATCCAAAGCTTTCAACTTCCTCAAGGCAGGTAACACTGCCAGAAGAAAAAGCCACACAGAGGTAAACATCTTTACCTAAAAACATGATGATCTCCATATAAAAAACATGATGATTTCCACCCAAGAAATAAAGGCTATGGACAGCAGGTCCGAGCTACCTCGTACTGGTATGGAGCCATTAAGTTTGTTTCCACTCAAGTCCAGCAATTCCAAGTTTTTCAAATCTTTAAGTTCTGAAAGTGAGTCCAACAAATATAATAACGAGACAACTTTCGTTTTAGACATATAAAGTTGTAACAGTAACTATAAATTGAATTGGTCTAACAAATAGATACGTCATCAATAAATAGATCATACTAGTTGGTCGTTACAAATGGAAAAACACACCTTTAACAAGAAAAGGACCATCCATGTTGTTTCTCCGAAGAAACAGAGTTGTAAGTGATGTAGCAGCACTAAGAAACGGAAAGATGCTGTAGTTGAATTCATTTGAAGAGAGATCCAGAATCTCCAGGTTTCTCAACCTCCTTAGGCTTTTATGACCTGCAAACGAGAATTTCTATTTTTAGATAAAATGCAAGCGAGAATCTTGATAACATCGCTCATTCAGATCACTTATCATAATTTTAATGTTTATGCAGATGAAGATTATGAGAGATGAAGACGTTTGAAGGGAATGTAAGTGGCCATCTTATGTAATTGTCTGCAACATGGGATAAATACATAAGCAAGGTAAGGCAGAAACAGAGAAATCCAAGTACCTTAATATCAGAAGGTATTAACTTTCATGAATTAAAAACAGCGAACTATGATTAAGTCCATCTTGGTTCATTAGATAAGTAGAACCCTAACGGAGGAACAAATCAAAGTTTCCAACACAAAAAAAAAAAAAAAAGTCAAACTAGGAAAACCTGGTATACCTTCAACATTATCGAAAAAGCCACCGAACTGCTGGGATCCAACCAAGTTAAGACATCGAAGCTCTTCAAAGGGATGCAGCAGAGAAAGATTTAGGAGAGACCTCGGCGGTTGGAACAAATAACCAGTAAAGGTAAGCTCGATGACCCGCCTGCTTATACTATTGCACTTTATGCCGTTCCACCGGCAACAGTTGCTCATTGTGTCATTAGTCCAATCAGGGAGAATATATTTGGTATGATCGAAGTCTGGTTGAGAGTTCTTTGAATGTGAGAGCATATATGTCTTGAACTCCAATAAAGCCTTCCTCTCTTCCACAACACAACTTTTGTATCCATGTATCTGTCCCAACACTATCATCACCCATATCAAGTTTTGACCCAAGATCACCTTCCTCCCCATTGCGGGTTCAATGCAACTACCTCCACATATATATAAATTTCAAGTTTTGTCAAAGAGAATAGGGAAAACCAAGTTCGATAAGAATAAGTCCTTGATCGTATGAAATGGCTCGTTTAGCACATAAATAAACTAAGTCAAGATATTTGTAGAAGAATACTCTTGATCATATGAGATATGTGTTGTGGTTAGCATCTTATACTTCGGCCAACATTTATATATATAATTATATCATTATGATATTGCTTGTTTGTAAACAAATATACGGAAAATACAATTAAAAAAAAAAAAACAGAGTAGAAAAGTTCATGGAGCCGGTTTATAGTGGAAAATACAATATATAAAAAAAAAAAAAACAGAGTGGAAAAGTTCTTGGAAAATATAGATTGTTTTGATTTCCGATAAAACATATTACAGTATCAAACTCAACACAACCACTATGTTGATAATTTGGCTCTCTTGGGTTGGTTATGTTGGTTTAGGTGAAAGTTCATGGAGTCAGTTTGATAAGAGTTCATGGAGCCGGTTTGGTCAATGTGGTAAACCTTAGAGGTGGCAATTTGGTTTAGGAGGGAGCCTTACTCTTAGGTGTGAAGTCCGAGTAGCAACTGGTGTGGATGCAAGTGAGAGCTTAATAAACCTCGGTCAATTTAAGCATTGTTTATTTATCCAAACAAATTGAATGTTTTGATTTAAGCCTATCATGAATGTGAAAAAGGGTGTACAAGAAGAAGAACCAACCAGTTATGCTTCAGCTTCTGCGAGTTCTTCAGAATCCCTGCATATAAAACAGATTTAAATGACAAAAGATTCTCACAACACCTGAAATTCTTGGAAAGAAATACTGTTCCTCATGTAATCAATATTTTCTTACCCTCCTTTAAAACCGTCCCACAAAGACCATAATCCAAAGCCAAAAGACAACAATATTGTTATAGGATGGGTCCATTTACGAGAGATCTGCAAGTATGGTTTAAATCAGCAAGTTCATAGAGATTCCATGGTAACAGGCACAAGCATTTTAACAATATCTTACCAGATTTGGAGCAGCCCAGCCGAGTGTAGCAGTCATGACCTAAGTATAAGCAAGACATGAGCTTTTCCCGAATCTTGAAGAGTTAATTGAACTGAAACAATAACATTAAGACATAGAAAAAACTTACAATCAAAGCCGATAAACACCAGCTAATACAAGTCTCCTAGGATCGCATAGCCACAATCTGGTTACAGAGTAAAACATTTAACATATACAGAAGCTGCCAAAGGAGATAGATAATTAGCTCAGCTATAAGACGCTCATGTGACACTTAAATAAAACAACTGCTTGTTCAAAAACAAAAGCCAACAGATTTGATCAAAGAACATAACCACTTCAAGTCTTCAACATATGGACTTGGCTCAAATTCTCCAACTTAACAATAAATGCACATTCCAAGTAATTGAATTTAGAATGTTACTAAAGCTGCAGCGAAGAAAGTTTTGTCACCAATCTCGGAGAGGAAAGTCATGGCGAGTGATTTAGTAAAACCCTAAAGAAACCCATTAATTAGCTTCGAATCCAAAGGCTAAGAACTTTGAATTTTCAGAGAACAGTTAAGCTTCCTACTGGGTTACGTACCTGCAAAAGAGAGCCCATGGCTTCCGAGAATAACGGCAAACTCACGGTGGAGCGATCTGTTTCCGGCGAGAGTCGCGTAAGAGAAGGTGAATGTTTTTTTTTTTGGTTGATTCTTGGGATTTGTTTGGTGGGAGTGTGGAGAGCATATGGAAAATAAGATTCTCATTGGTTAGATCTTGCCACGTGGAAGAATGTGATTCGAAGATCTTGCTATGGTAGGACCCATGGAAGCCAGCTTTGACAGTTGACTCTATGAGGGTTGTGTTCATTTATTATTGTTCCATTGTTGCTCCGAGACATGAAGAATTCTATAAGACAATTTGTTATTTTTGAGACATTACATTTCTTCAGAGACAAAGAGTAGTTACATAGGAACCAAACATGAGTTATGTTATTGTTTTGTTACACAAAGCAGGAGGTTTTGTGAAGAACAAAAACAGATGGGACAATATAAGAATTTATCATTAACAATGGCCAACTAGAAGAGGATTACCTAAGTAGCTACGAGCCTTGTTCTAAAAATCGGCCGCCTAGCCGCCTAGGCGGCCGCCCGCCTAGGCGGCCGCCCGCCTAGGCGCTGATCGGAGGAGCACCGCGGCGATTTTGTCCAAATCGGTGAGAAAAATCGGAGATCCGATTTTTGTCCGCCTGGACCGCCTAGGCGGCCGCCTAGCCCGCCTAAATGGCGCCTAGCCCATTTTTTTTTTTTTTTTTTTTGTTTTTACTTTTTTTTTTTCATCTAAAATTCAAAACGTCCTACTTATGTTCGTAATTTGTATAAAAATCATAAATTTGAAATTAAAATCTTGTTTTCATGTGTTTAATACAATTTTAAAAACAATATTATATAAATTACTTAATTATAATGGATTAATATGTTTTTAAAATATTAAATAGCCCTAAAACTAATCCCCGATTAATCCCCGTGTAATCCCCGATTTTCTTGCTAGGCGCTAGGCGCACCCTCACCGCCCGACTAGCGCCTAGCGATTTTTTGAACACGGGCTACGAGTATCGAAAGTGTTAAACTGTTTTCCTTCTTGTTAAGAGGGTTGCATTGCAGTTGCAAGACTAAGAACGACTAAGTTACAATTTACAAATCAATGCGGTACAACATCCATCTAAGCCTAAGGTAGTTAGTGAAAGTCTAGTGTATTGGAGCTTGAACCTAACAAGAAGAAAAGGAAGGTAGGATCTCAAATTAATTTGGGAGGATTTGGAGCTTGGTTTTCACGGCTGAAATCTTCGATGGACTACTCGGATTTGTGGCTATTTAAGAGAGACTTTTTTCTTCAATTTCATTAGTGAAAAACTCACATCTTCTCTTCTACTTTCTTCTTTTTCTAAATTCTGTTTTGAATTTGAGAGTTTCATCTCTCCTGAATCGAGAGCAAGATTCAGGTTGAGAGCGGAGTAAACCCTCGAGTGAGCCGACTTGTTTAGGCGGTTTTTCGCTCAAGTGCAATTGTTTATACTACAGCTTTGCGATTTTGTTTTTTGACAATTCTGATTTTCACGTTATTAATCCAACATTGAAGCAATAACTATCAGCCAAACAGGACATAGAAAACACACAGGTACCACAAAGTTACATGAAACTAAGAATAATGAGACAGAATCTTATTTCGGGCTTTTTTCTAGACTCATAGTTAAATAGTCATCAAACCAATGAGAACCATATGATCTTGTTTGTTTCATATAGACATAGTACACTTTCTTACAAGTTAAAAAGTATGCTTGGATCTGCAAATCTAATGTCCTGATAGAGTTATAAAGGTAACTATGTAAGATCTACAGAAATGTTGTTGGGAATAGTAGTCCCTGTAAGACCTTTTGCACCCTACTGAATCCAATGCTCTAAGACCAAGTAATTTTTTGTGTTGGCTTATAAGTAATGGCTAATAGTCTCTATGCTCACAGCTAAGTAATTAACTGTATAACAACAACATTACTCTTTTTTTTTCCTACTTGTCAAATCATCAATAAGAAGTTGTGGAAGATTTGTTTTGGTCAAATGTAACAATCCAATGTACTGTATTTATCTTTCTTCGGAAAAGAGAAACACTCAAGACTCTTAACCTTTTTATTTATGAAAGAACAAAAAAAATGGTACATAGGATGCAGAGAAATGTTCTCACGATTATTACTTCTCCCAAATTGTTCACAAGAAATGAGAAGAGAAAGAGACAAGATCGGATTCTGACGAGTAAAAAACAAGAAAATACCCACAAGACTAAACAGAGCCTAGACGTCATTGACTCTGCCAATGTACTGCTCCACTCTCTTGTCCAAAACCATTTCATTATTGGTACGTTTCCGGTTTGGTGTAAACAATTCCCGGTTATGAGTGAATATTTGGTAAAAGAAAAGTCAATGAAGCCACCGAGAGAAACGAGAGTTTACTGGTTTTAGAATAGGAGACAGTAATAAATGTTAAGACTTAATTTGGGATTTCATAAAAAAAAACAAAGCTCATAATAGTTTCTACATTTATATGAGGAAGATGTTTCTTTCAAGCAAAGCTTTTCTTTTTAATGCTCTTCTTCATCGGTCCACTGAATATAAAGTTAATAATACTGCAAAAATTATTTGGTTTTTATCATTAAATAGGGATACTATTAAAATTCATTTATTTGTGTATGAGTTTATAAAACAAAATTTAAAATATTGGAAGATTATTTTAATTAGCTTTCCATCAACATCACATCAGCTTCAGAGCAGAAGCCAGCCAGCCAGACTATTACCTGCTTTATGGTAACTAGATTTCATTAATATCTGATTTTTTAATTTTAATTTAAAATTAGTTAAATAAATAAAAATACTCATTGAGAAAATAACAGCTTAGGCTAGGGCTTTGACATTTTTACAGGAGAGAGAGGAGAGAAAAAAACACATTGTTTCAACAATACATCATGATTCATGAGTATATCCAATTATCAACTAAATAGTGCATTAATTACAACTTTTTATATTAGTATTACTTAGAGGAAGTCATAATTAGCTTTATTATTTATATTAATTAATTAGATTAAAATTTTATCTTTGGTGCATGGGAAAAAATAAAAACTCAGAGTGCCAGTGGTCGAGACTCGAGAGGCCATTTTCAACTTTGGCAGACACAGTAAAACAAGATGGAAATGACACTCTGCATCTGAAATATCCAGGCTCTGCATTACATATACATACAAATTTTACACATTTATTCCATGTTTATAATTATAAGTGATAAATAAAAAATGTTATAGAGAAAAAACTTGAATAAGTTTAAGTTTCTTTAGTCTTTACTCTTTACCATGTGATTTTCCATAATTACAATTGTTCTCAATGATCCTAAGAACAATCCTACACATTAACAATTTCAAAATTAATTTAAAACAAATAAAATAAGCATAAATATCGTGGCAAATTTGATTTTTACTTTTCCTCGAACCCTAAATTTGGATTATCTAAACTTTCTTGCAAAAATAATAATAACAATCTTTAGTTAAATAATAAATCAAAGATTAGAGAAAGGTATGAACATATATACTCTCAAGTTTCAAGAGACATTGTCAGCAAGCATCCAAACTATCGTCATTCTCGATTCTCTCTTCATATCTTGGTTAAAGACCATATACATAGTAATTCCAAATACTAATGTTAATGTGTCGTCTAAGAGCATCTCCAACCCACCTCTATATTTGCCTCTAAACTCTATTTTAGAGGCAAATTTGCTCCAACCCACCTCTATTCTCACCTCTAAAATAGAGATCTCTATTTTTTTCTCTATATATAGAGGTGAGAATAGAGAATCTCTATTTTTTCCTCTATAAATAGAGTTAAACTTTTTAGAGGAAAAAATAGAGGAACACATTGGAGTAAAAATAGAGAAAACCTACCTCTATTATAGAGATAGAGCTAAAAATAGGGAAATACATTGGAGATGGTCTAACACCATTATCCAAATTTAAAAACTAATGTCCATAATTCGATTAGACACATATGACATATGGTTGATTTAAAAATTAGCATGACATTCAAAAGAACACAAACATGTGTATATATATACACATCTGACCGAATGATTAATCATATTATTTCATTTGTAGCTATCTTCATATTGAACATATATTGACGAATGAACTTTTAGCTGCTAATCTAGCTGCAATTGGGGTAATCGTTTACGAACACAATGAACATAATCGTTTACTAACACGATGAATAAACGAGTTATTCGGAGAGTCTTTTACTGATTCAGGATTTGACTTTGAAGAAAAGATTCGGCAATCCATGTACAAACTGCAAACTGGTCATCATCTGAAGCTGATTACTTGATGAATCCAAGGCAAAACCAGTCGAAGATGGTCTGTGATACGAAGGTTGAGTCAGTAGTTGTAGAGATTGTCGACCGGCGCACAGTCTTTCGTAAAAAATCCTTGACACATAGATCCTAACATATGATCTATAGTATTTGAGATTTTTTTTATACGATTTTGGTAGATGAATCACTTATACAATCTATACAATGTGAGATCGAAAAGAAATTGAGAAATCAAGCTTAGAAACTAGCTTCGATTTAAGCTTTTAGAAGACTTGATGATCACTAATTTTAATTCTTTATTTAAAAAAATTTCAACTACAACTAAAGTTATATATTTTTCCTAAACTATTTATACAATTCTGTTATCCTAATTTTTATTTCTTCATGGACTTTAGTCTAGAGCCAGATCTAAGTGATCGGTTAGGATTTAAGTTTACGTTTTTGAAAGCTAAAGATACGATCAAATGTAACTGATTTTTCCCACAATAATCCCATAAAAATAATTAAACTAGATCAAAGTAATCTATAGAGTATTTAGTAAATACGAATATAAAAAAAGAAAATAGAGTAACATTTTTAAAATAGGAAAAAAAAGGGTACGTGGGTATGTGTGTTGGTTATTGGGAAACTAAAATCCCACCCTCTCTCAGTCTCAGACGCAATTCATTTACACTTTTTTATTATTCATAATAAATATAAATCTCAAAATCTCTTCTCTGATTCTCTCTCTCTCTCACAATATTTATAATTTCGTATTAATTAATGATGAATCCTCTCCTCTAGCCGTACACTGATTCGCCATCTTTTCACCTCTTTAATGAATTCTCCTCCCTTTTAACTTCACTTTCTTCTTCTTCCTCTGAAAACAAACCCAACTCTAGAAGAAACCTCTGTTTCTTTTTCTGATTTTCTTTGTGTCATCATCTTCTTGTAAGAAAGCAACAACAACAATGCAGAGCAGCTTCAAAACCGTTCCTTTCAATCCTGATTTCTACTCTCAATCCTCTTTCTTCTTCAGGTAACACCAAACACATCTCTTCTCTCTTAACAAAAACATTAAAAACCAATCTTTTTTTGTTTCTCTGTTTTAAACAGAGGGGATAGTTGTCTTGAAGAGTTTCATCAACCAGTTAATGGTTTTCACCATGAAGAAGCTATCGATTTAAGTCCAAGTTAGTTTCTTTTTTTCTTACAAGTACAAAAGGTTTAAGCTTTGTTAAAGGAATCTCAAGTATGTTCCATTTTCTGATTTTCTGCAGATGTCACTATTGCTTCAGCCAACTTACACTACACGACGTTTGATACGGTAAAAGTTCACCAAACCCAAAATTTTAAAAATAGAAAGAAAAAGTTTCCTTTTTTTTGCTCATTCTTTCTATGTATGTATACTCTGTTTTTTAGGTTATGGAGTGTGGTGGTGGTGGTGGCTTGAGGGAGAGACTTGAAGGAGAAGAGGAGTGTTTGGATACAGGGCAATTAGTGTATCAGAAAGGGACAAGATTAGTCGGAGGAGAAGTGAACAGCAGTTGGTGTGATTCGGTTTCAGCTATGGCTGATAACAGTCAACATACTGACACTTCCACAGATATTGATACTGATGACAAGACTCAGGTTTTGTTCCTTTGTCTTCTTCAATAATCTTCTCTTCTGCCATAACCAAAAAATAAGATAAAAAGATTCTGTCTTTTTTTTCCTTTCATTTCTGTTTTGTTTCTTCTACACTTGGAGTTTTGTTTTGTCCCTTTTGTTTTTTTTTAAAAAATTTCTCATTGATATGTCACCTTGGAATTCGATCAATATTGTTTGCTCAGATTATGTCTGTTTCAATAAGGGCTTGTCTGTTTTTTCTTTGGTTTAATGGGACACAACATGGATGATTGGTTTGTTGAACTTTACTACTCTATTTACAAGTTTCAATTTCATGTAAAGTTTCTTCCTTTTTATGGTTATGAACTTATAGTATGAAAAACTTTACTGGCCCATGTTGTTGTTGCTTATAAAGTTTGTTGCTTTTTATTGATATAATATGGAATTCAATGGCCCATGACTTTATTTTTGATGTATATTGATTGCTTTGTGTTATATAGTTAAATGGAGTTCATCAAGGGATGCTTTTGGCTACTAATTGTTCAGATCAATCCAAGGTGAAATCTTGTGAACAAAGGGTAGATTTTCTTATTTAAACCAGATTAGAGTTTTGGAAACGGTTTTGGTTTATGGGTGAATGGACTTTGACTTTTTGAATTCTTGGCAGACACTTCGACGACTAGCTCAGAATCGGGAGGCTGCTAGGAAAAGTCGATTGAGGAAAAAAGTATAGTAGCTGATTCATTGAACTGTGTTTTTTCATCTTTCACTTATCTTTGTGTTTACTTCATATTCTGAATTGCATTTTCTTTTAATAGGCATATGTCCAGCAACTTGAGAATAGTCGAATAAGGTTAGCACAGCTAGAGGAAGAGCTCAAAAGAGCTCGCCAACAGGTCTGCATAACACTGTTGTCTTCTTAAATTTGTGCTCTGTGGAAGAAGAGAGCTTCAAGTTCTACTAAATTGTATTAAAGGGCTTATCCTGTATGCAGGGATCTTTGGTCGAAAGCGGAGTTTCAACGGATCACTCGCATTTGGCTGCTGGAAATGGTAAGAATTTTAGAATCTCACATAACACTTCTTGGCTCTTTGGAATCATACTAAAGATGATCTTTGGTTTTTGATGTTGTAGGTGCCTTTTCATTTGAATTGGAATATACACGTTGGAAGGAGGAACATCAAAAGCTGATAAACGACTTAAGATCGGGTGTGAATTCACAGTTAGGTGACAACGATCTACGAGTGCTAGTGGATGCTGTGATGAGTCACTACGATGAAATATTCAGGCTAAAGGGAATTGGTACCAAAGTTGATGTCTTTCATATGCTCTCAGGCATGTGGAAGACTCCTGCTGAGAGATTTTTCATGTGGTTAGGTGGATTTAGATCATCTGAGTTACTTAAGGTAAAAGAAAGGGTTCACAACATTTTTTCCACAATCATTGGTTTTGATCTTTTTTTCATAATTGGTAACTATGTTGTTAGATATTGGGGAACCATGTGGATCCATTGACGGATCAGCAGTTGATAGGCATCTGCAACCTTCAACAGTCATCTCAGCAAGCAGAGGATGCATTGTCACAAGGCATGGAAGCTCTGCAACAATCGCTTCTCGAAACGCTTTCCTCTGCTTCAATGGGTCCAAACTCTTCAGCAAATGTTGCAGATTATATGGGTCATATGGCAATGGCCATGGGCAAACTTGGCACTCTCGAAAACTTTCTTCGCCAGGTAAGAAACAAAACCTCAGCTGATAACAACAACAATTGGCATTACAAATCAAACAACTGAAAAGGTTTCTTTGCAGGCTGATCTATTGAGGCAACAGACTCTCCAACAGCTTCACAGAATTCTTACCACACGACAAGCTGCTCGCGCTTTTTTGGTCATCCATGACTATATTTCTCGGCTTAGAGCACTTAGCTCTCTATGGTTAGCCCGGCCTAGGGACTAAAAAGTCTGTAGTCATGACCAAAGGAAAGCATAGTTCTGGTCTTAGATTTTCACATTCAAATATTTTAACTAAAAAACTAAAAAGACCAAAGCTCTCTCCTCTTTAGTGTCTTTTAGATCATCTGTTTATTTAGTTGGTAGTGAACGTTACCATGCAGAATCAATCATCGTTATTTTATTTTTCTTTCCCTAGCTAAACTGAGAAACACCACAAGCTTACAAGATCTACAGAAAAGTTTAAAACCGTAAGAGATAATGGCTGCATTGCGTGAAAGTATCATCGAATCATGCCAGGTACAACTATGGGAGGTGTTACTTTCTCTCGGCTCCATTTCTCTACATTCGAAAGCCATCCTGAAAATAACCAAAATCAAGAAAACATAATTTGTGAATCTTATGGAAGCTTAATCTTTATGTTTTGATGTTGTTACATCAAGTTTACCGGAAAAGAAAAAATCTTTAAAGCATTGGATGAATACCAATAGAAGGGTCAGCACCGCGGTTCTTGAGTTCTCGGGACTCTTGGCATATAGCACATGGGGTGCAAAAGAGATGGACTAAAAAGTCACGGCATGGTTCCTCAGGCAATGCGAAATGTTCCCTAAGCCTAGACCGGCTTGGAAAAGCGTAGAGCCAGCTGCAACCAATAAAGCCTAACGCTAGATGAATCAAACCAGCGTTCATACAAGCTGCATTTCACCCAAATCCAAATTTTTAGATTCTTTTACAAAAACATATCAATGCTATTACAAAAATGTTAATTATCGGTTTTTTCTTACGTATGGTTCCTCTGTTTACGATCTCGACGTTTTGAGCGAAGGAAACGCATGGCATTATAGCTGTCTGAACACCTTTATGGATCCAATAAACAAAAACAAAACCACATGAATTTAAGACAACAAAGAAGAAGAAAGATCAATCAAAACACGAAGAGATACGTTTTAATTAGTACGTACAAATGTGAGCATCTTCGTGACAATCACAAAGACCGGTGGTCCATAGTCCTTGAGGAAGCTGTTCGGCGTATGGTTGATCCCGGAACGACGTCCCCTCCGCCTTGAACACCGGCCCATTCCCGTACATTTTCAGTTTTGTTAATAACAATTTATATACCAAAATCAAACAATAAATAAATAAACAATCACTCTCTGATTTTCTCGACGTTATTTGTTAGAAATTATAGCAGAAGAAAGATTAATGTTTCTACAGAATTAAGAATCTGGTGAGAAAAATATGGAAGAGAAAATTATTTAAATATGTACTTTTTTTCGATTGGAGCTGGACATACGCACCAAAAAAACCTTCAACACAAAATAGAGAAGCTAAGCGTCAAATTTGTTGGTGAAAACACTTATAGACGAAGATGATATTAAATGGTTAATAATGATTTATCTAAATGTAGTAGTGGTACTTTATAGTGTAACATTAAACTAGCTGTTGTTAATATACAAAAATAGAAAACCGTGGTTGGATAGATAGTTTGACCACATTATAACCAAACAAAAAATTAAGATTATCCACATTATATAATTCGTAGATGTATTTAGTTGACCAGACAGAAGTTAAATCTTGAGATTTTGACAAGACAGAAGTTAAATCTCATAAGATTTGTACAATATCAATTTGCTTCTACAGGGTTCTAGGAAAAGTATTTGCTTCTAGAAAGAAAAAAAAATGGAATCTTGTCCATGATAGAGGTTTTTTTTTTGCTCAAGTCCATGATAGTGGTTTATTCCCACACATAGTAGTAAATTAAGAAATGAAAGAGAACCTTCACTAGACCTAGCCGATTGATGGCTTTCGAGAAAATATGGTTTAGTGCATTCGAATTTTCTAATCATTTAGAGAAAATAATGGTGTCGATCTTGAAGCTTTTTTTTATAACTTTTTTTTTCTTTATCTAAAAATAATCCAGATTTTTATCATCCAACTAATTTTTACAAAATAGTGTAACTAACTATTGAGTAGACCACTCACCGGATTTTATAATGAATCTAAAGTATGATACTAGCTATTTCCATAGGAAAGATAGATTGATTTAGTAAAATTCTTGTTTGAGGAAACTGCTACAACAAGGAGAATCAATCTCTAGTATAATTACCATTGGGACTCCTTTTCAAGTGGAAATTACTAAACTACTATAATGTAGTTTTGATAAACCTATCGGCGGACCTGGTCAGCCTCGGTAGAAACGCACCGAAGTGCTTTAGAGTGGACTTCTTTCCGAAGGGCCACCACATTGTCTCTCCCGAGTTTGGAATGCTTTCCGACTAATGTCATAGCCAGATCGCCTGTTACTGGACTACCAGGTAAACTGCTTGGCCCTTTGGCCCAAGTCCAGACTTTCCATACATATGTGTTTTTTGTTTCCAACGTGGATCGAACATGAGTTAGTTCCTTCAAATCTTTTCCCAATTCTCAACTACCACTGGACCACATTTGTGTGGACTACTACAATGAAGTTTATTAGAATTTTTTTCAAAAATAGAAGATATGTAAATTGTGATTTAGAAAAGAAAATATAAATTCAAATTAATGAGAGAGTTGGGAAAATAGTATAAATTTTATAAACAAAATAGTCAAATATATAAACTCTGAAGTCTAAATTCTTAATCACAATTCCTAACCCATAACACCTAGCTAATCTTTAACCATAAAACGTTAACAAAATGTTTTCAACAATTTCCTTATTTCCAAGAGAAAAACTGGCAGAAACAGAAATGGTCAACGTTAGTGTCGTACATTGTCACATTGATAATGCTGGTTTTCCTAAAGTCACGAATGATAATAATGCTGATTTGAATAATAATAAAAAATAGTGGCAAATGGAGAAAGAACAAGAAAGTGAGGTTGCCTTCAAAACGAACCACGAACTAGGCTTTTGTCTACAATTTGTCCGCCACTAGAATTGTCTGATTCATTCTAAGACATTATTTTAGTTGATAGTAGTTACATTCTTCCAACTTCAATCTCAAATCCTAACCTTTTAACAAAATTGATCTCAAATCTTAACTTAAAAAGTAAAAAGTGTTGTCCAGATTCATCAATCCAAGCCATGCACCTATATGGGATATGGCCCATATCCAACAACATGCACGCTGCTCTATTAAAATTTTAAAAAGTTTAAACGTTAATCAAAACGAATTCTAATTTTATAATTTATACTAAAAGATAAATATTTATAAACGAATTATATATTTGATATGATGATTAATTTTTTAATGACTAGATGATCCAAAACAGATAATCAGATTAATTCCTAAAACTTGCATCTTATAGAAATCACTTAAAAGACTATATAGTATATGATGTGTTGTGAATACTCAAGATACAAACATATAAGAGCTACAATTTTAAATAATTTATACAAATACAGAACTAATTAAAGGGATCGTCGTGGTGGATAAAAGCATCGATGTGGCACAACATCTCTAGAGTTGTGGTGTGAGCAAGCTGAGACTTTCCGAGAATATGAAACGCGTGACCAACGCCTTTGTGCACCACGCGCTTGATCACTTCCTCATTACCATCGCACATTTCCATGTTTCTGTCCATCAGCAAATCCATCTCGGCCACGCACACCAACGTCCTCATCACCGTCGACGACTTGATCTTCACAGGTTTACAATACGGATGCTCTCTGTTTGCACCACGTGGTAAAGACAACCTCCACCATGCGTCCGAACCCTCCAGTGTAAGCACTGAACTTTTGTTGTTACCCACGCGCTTCTCACTCTCCGTACGCTCCTCTCCGCCGTGGAAAGGTTGGATCAGGATCGTTCCTTCTATCTTTAGAGCGAGATCTTCGGTGGATGCTAATCTTGCTGCGACTTGGTCCGCGATGTTGCCTCCAGCGCTATCTCCGGCCAAGAATATTCTGCCAAAGTCACATTGCTTGGTCCACAAGTTATCGCTTCTTGCTTTGTTGAGCCAAAGAATGGCATTGACTCCATCTTCGTAAGCTGCCGGAAGAGGATTCTCAGGGGCTAGACGGTAATCTACAGACATAATCAAGCACCGCGAGCGAGAGGACAATCTAGCCAAGAACTCGTGGTAACACGACCAAGAAGTCGAGCCAACGCAGAATCCTCCACCGTGGAAGTAAACAATCAAAGGTAGCTTAGAGACCGACGACTTGGTCGTGGTCATCATCGGGACGTAGAGACGTGCCCATACGTTGTTCAACTTGTCTATGACAACATCAGAGCAAGCCACGCCGAGCTCTAGGGGTAGTGAGGGACCAACACACGGCACGAGCTGGGATCGTTCCACGTGGCCATCTTTGTAAACTTTAATAAGGCCTTCTACTTCGTCTACGACTGGTCCATGAATGTTGGTGTTATTAGGGTTAATGGTGGTCACATGGGTCAATTTGGTGGCTCCCATATTTCTGATTTTTATGTGTGATTTGTGTAGTTTCGTGATCCACAAAGAGAGCTTTTATTTTTAAGAGTTTGGGAGATTGATGTGTTTGGAGATTTCTTATATAGGAGGAGGATGTATAATGGAGAGTGATAGAGACGGGTAAGGTCGAAAATGTTTCCAACTTTACTTTTGCATCAAAATACTATCAATAATTGAAACTTAACTAAATTTGTGGGCTACTGATTTTAATGTCTAGGACCGGAGATGCCACGTGAATTTATTCAATATAACAATTTGACTATTCGAGCTAGGTGTTCAACTTCCTTCCATAAGATCTAGTCACAAGTATATAAAATTCAACCTATCTCTGTTTTTATTTTTCTTTAGGTTGTATTAATTTCTCTAAGCTTTAATTTAGAATATTGTCGTCACTGCTGATATAATAGAAACGTGTGAATAAGACTTAAAAGGGTTGTTCTTATCCAATGAGCGTGGGAGGCAAAATTCAACGTGACTATTTCGTTGTGAGCTAGTCGATGGACTGTAGTGATATTATTAATTCTCTTGAACTTTCCATTCACCAAATCGTATTATAAAAATATATATTGGAAAGATGAAAGTGGCACGTGGACATCAAAGATTGTGGAGGTGGGTGATAGTCTCCAACTTTTCAACGGCATAGAGTCAGACGAAGTATGGGATTGGTTGTGAAAGGTTTTGTCAAAATGCACTTACCAAAAAGATGCATTGCCCACTTTTGTTCTTCATTGTTCATGCACCAATCTTTTTTTTCTTTCTTTTTTTTATATAATTTATTTACGTAGGGAAACATTTCGACATTTTGTGCGTTTTAGTAATAGTTTAGTCGTTGAATTCACACTGTTAGCATCATTATTATATATTAGTGGCCATTTCTAATTGGTGGTTTTTTTTTTTTTTTTTTTTTTTCTAATTGGTGGTTGTTCTTTAACAAGGCTTTCATGTTAATGTTAGATTTTTGTGTAAATGGGAATATGGTAATGTTAAACAGAAATGAAGAGCTTAGAAGCAAAATTTGGTAAAAAGGATAATTATGTAATAATAAATGCATGCTATAGAAATTAGTTGTTATTTGTTAAAGATGATTGAAGTATGGGTAGTAAAAGTTGATTGGTGATTTCCGTGTTAAGCCAATCAATGAATTGGCAAGTAGGAAGGAGCTTAGGTGGGATATATAATGTATAATAAGAGGATGATAGTGTTGAAAAAAGTGGGACAAAACCCATTTTCATGTTTGGTGAGTTTGATTTTGTGGCACATAGTGTATAAAGTTTCAAACACAATTATAGTATAGAGTATAGACTTTACTTCTGGTCTGCTTCATTTACATGGTATCAATCATAATACTATTAATTGATTTTATGAAAGAATTTTCCTTCTTTTTCTTTGGTCTTATGAGAGTTTTCTCCATACACTTAAAAATAAACATAAAATTCATATACATATTTTACAAACAAAAAATTGCTTCCATATTTGAGTAATGTTCCCCAAAAATAGGGTAGATTAATTACAATATCTGAATAAATTAACTAAAATATGCATCTTAGAGAAAAGAAAAATTCCCATATTGGCTACTTTTGTCCTTTTGAGAGATTCTGAAGATAAGAATAATGAGGAAGCTACACCACATTGACACACACGAAGAGAATATTAATTATTAATCCGATATATCCAACACAACATATGAGTGACAATTGTGAAGGAATACAAATTACATCACGGTATCAAAACAACTAATATAGATATGCATAGTTTATCGATATATATATGTAACCTATTGTTAATATAGAGATAAACCAATCTAATTCAATCTAGACATGGGCGGTTGAAGTGGAGGAGCCGAAGGCGTAGATGCAGCCAGTCGTGCCTGTCGTTCCATATTTCCGTGCCACCCGATGGATAAGTCGAAATCGCGGTTGTGTTGAAGTTGCCTATACTCTTGACAAAGAGCGCATGGCTCGCAACAAAAGTGGACACAACAGTCACAACAAGGTCTCTCCTTGAGATTGTATTGTGCTCTTAGTTTGGTTCGGTAAAAGCAAGAGTAGAGACTGCTCCCTCCATATCCGGTCAGCATAAATATGATCATGTACATCGCTCCGCTCACACCACACGATGTGGATCCTCTGTCTACAACCTCCGCTATGCGTCCAAAGGCAACACATGGACACCAACAAGTCAAGCAGCATGAGTTTATGTCCATCCAACATTCACACAAATCAGTAGACCAATCCTTGGCCTTGACATAGCCTTGGCTTGGTTGGTCGTTGGAGGAAAGGTTCATGGTGTGATCTTTTTGAACTTTGAAAAAACGATATTTAATTTTCTTGTGTTCACATATTTATAATTATTGTTATGTTGTGGTACCTTTTCATGGGTTAACCGTCAGAAACTGCAAGGAAGCACGTAGGGACGCCTCGTTTAGTTTTGCTTTTGTTTTTTCACACTGCCTTTTAGTTATTTTAAACCCAAATTGTTTACTTGCTAAAAATAGGCCATGAATTTTTGTAGTATTTGAAGTGGCTTTTTTTGTTTTTCGGTTATTGGTTTTAGTTTTTAAGTTTTTGGTTTTTGATTATTGGTGTAAATTTTAGTTTTTTTGCAAAACTTGAATGGTAATTTGGTATAGGTTGTAGTTTATTGCCAATGATTCTATGAGTTTTTGCAGTTTTTATTTTTTTTTGGTTCAATAATTGACAAAAATATTGAAAATCTAGATTCTCAATATTTAGGAACAAGTTTTATGCAAAATCTAGAATGGGTAACAAATTGATTTTCTGAAAATCAAAAACCAAAAGCCATTTTAGACCACCATAAGAAATCATAAACCTTGTAAATATATACTTTTTATCAGCAAGTAAAAACTAAAGACATTCCTCCAAACATGTGATTTCCAGATATTGAAGTTGTTTTTGCTCTCACAATCAAAATGATTTAAACAAATATACATAAAGAAAATAAACAAAAGAATAAAGTAACTTATGTTTGTTTTAGTAAATTTGCTTACAAATCACTTATTACACCATGTTCATAATATTAACGTTGTATCACTTCTTTCACACATTCAAACCTTAGGAATCTGATCAACAGGATCTTTGAAACCAGCTTTTGTGCTAAGCTCCTCAAAAGCATTGACAATGTTTTGCAGCCTCGCAACAAACTCGATCAGAAGGGAAGCAAATGTAGCTAGAGACAACGAACTCGCGCTTTCGTATACTTTACATTCAATCTCATTCACCACAGTACCACCAATAAAGGACATGCTTGGCCACATCTCTCGGTTCTTGAACATCATACTCTCTGTTGACATCCAATTCTGAGATTGATCATTACTCTGATGATTGTTGTTGTTAGTATCCCAAATCTGGCTTAAAGATTTGATCACTTTAGTCTCGTCGTCTTTGGCTTCTTGGTCGTTTTCTCGAGCTTCTTCGGCTTCAGCTTGCTCTTTAATAGCTGCCCAGCTTTCTGAGTTGACAAGAAGATATGATTTACAATCTATTTTCATCTGTAGTGCCTCGGCTGCTCGTTGAACGTCTTTCAGAATCTCTCCGAGGCTTAGGCTTAGCTTCTCCATTTTCTCCACTTTTTCTCCAAACAATCGTAAAACTTTTGCTCCTTCATTACCAACTCTCCGAAGCTCGTTACTGAAAACATGTCTTTTCTCTGGAGCTGCCTGCCATATCACACAGCCCATAACATTCAACCTAACAGTAATTGAACCATTATATCTAACATATATAGTAACATTAGCATACAATACAAGTACAATCGAAGTATATATATCAACTTATTATAATGCTGGAAAGCTGATATAGAAAGAGCTAACTCACTACCCAAACTCTCACTAATTTGGATAAAGATCGATTTCGTTTCGCGACGGGTAAGAATCTACCTTAGGACGAGTATTTTGAAAACATCAAGTACTTTTGGAAAATCTTAAGACAATTTACAAAGGGATTAACTATTTGTAAAATAGGGTGTGAGACAATAAGTCAATAACTAAAACCATGACCCTCTTTTAGTAAGTGCGAGTGAAGCGTTCGAAGAGAACCACGACTTAAAAAAATTATTTAACAAATTTAAATATCAGGACCTATAAGCTAATTCACCTCATTATTATTTGAACCGGGCCTACAATTAAAACTTTTAGATTTCTTCACACATGTATGCTAAAACATTTATGACACCTACAACAAAACGGATGGAGTACTAGACATTTTTTCCCCAGTTATTCAATTCATTTGCCATCATCTTTTCTTTCTTCACACATGTATGCTAGACATTTATGACCATACACACTTATATAACTTTCTAATAATCATTTACCTTAGTAGCAAAAGGGAGCTTATTAAATTATTAATAATAACAAAAAAAAGTAATGGTTTAATGAAATAGTTTAATAAGGAACCTGTATTTCTGAAAGAATGCATCCATGCATTGCCATGACTGTGAAAGCGCAATGCCTCACTGCACCACTGAGTTTGACATAGTTTTTCCAAGGATGGTTAAACGTTTTGTAAGGTCCATGAGGAGGCTCCCATATAGCGAAATCAAGCTGCAAAAACAGAGTTCTTTTAATGCTATATATATATCACCATAATCCTTATTTCAAAGTTTTGTCTCTACTACACGCAAAACATACCAAAGAATCTTCTTGGCTTGTAGATTGAACAGCGGATCTGTATCCGCTGTATAATGGATCATCTGAAGCTTGATACGTGAGTATCTTCGACGGTATTCTCTCGTATTCCACACATTGCAAGTAACCATTAACACATCCTAAAGGATAAAAACATAAACCTGAAATAAGGGACATGGAAATTATAAGCTAACCAATTTATGACTGATTATATAACCTTCTAAGGAATTTGCCACAGTCTTGAAGTTTTTGGCCACCAGTTTATGGAGATCTTCCCCCGCCCATATCGGAAACAGAAATACATTCACAAGCAAACAAATGGTTGCACCAAGAACAATAAGCAAGATCCTGTAATAAGCAGTGCTTAAGAAGTCTCTTGAGTTGTTCCCGGAAACAAGAACTATACAATATGTCAACTTGAACACCCTGAATGCGTATTCGTATGGTTTCATGGCCGCGTAGAGTTTCAAATAACTAGCACCAAAACCTGATATAGACAAAGAAAAGTAATTTTAGTATCCTCATTGTGTGTAATGGAATTGTTGATATAAGGAAATGTTGCAAACCTGCAAGGAATATGCAGATTACGATGATGACTTCTTCAAATTCTCCTGCTAAAACAGAGAGCTGCGCGACGCCGAGAGCAAGTCCCCCAGCTAACATTGTGCCTAACGCTCTATTGAATCCTTTAACCAAAGTTGCTCCTGAAAAATTGAAAGTTAGAGTGATTCAAAAGTATAAGAATTGATCTGAAAATGTGAATAAAATTGTAAAATGCAAGTCAATAAATAAATCAGAACAGAGAAAATAAAAAATATTGAATCCAAAAATAAAATAAGAAACGGAATTAACAAGTTCCCATAATAAGATTGTACAATCAACCAATTGTGGTGTCTAAAGTTTCATTAAAACTCGAAAACACGAAAAAATCCAATCAAAGTAACAAACAAGCAAATAAAGTATAAGAGTTTATATGAAAATGTGATTTTCTTTTATCAAGATCTGAAATGTTATTAATACAGTAAAATGTAACACAATAAGTAAATCCGAACCAATGAAAATGGAAAGATTGAATCCAAAAAAAGGGACAGTCTTAGCATTAAAAGAATCTTGACTAGATTTGCTTCACATGTGCAAGTGTCTTGAGTTCAAGATTCCAATAAAACATAAAACAAAACTCAAAGATCCAATCAAAGGATCATAAACAAGGGTAAGAGTTACGAATCAATACCGACATAATACTCAAAAATGAGAACGACAGTGAGAATCGCCCAAACTGCGAATTTACTCGCATCTTGAAGCGGTTCTTTGAGAAAGATGACGAAAGAACAGAGTGCCAAAGCAATCCCCATCTTGAAGGAGAAGTAAAGCTTCCGACGATCAGAATGTCCCATGGCATACAACTTCGCCGGAGCCTCGTAGAGAGTCCTCCACGAGCAACACCGGAACTTGGAGTCACGGCTATCGGTGACATCGCTTGACTGCCAGAGAAGCTTCTCTCTGTTTTGCTCCGGTAGTGATCCCATTTTGCCTCCCATTAGAAATTATTCTGACAATTCTACAGAACCTGAGTGAGAGATTCTTGTCGTCCTTACGAATAGGAAGATGTTTATTTATTTATTTATCAAGATTTGTTTTGTACTTGGCAATTAATGCATGCCTTCGATTCATCATCTCAAAAAATTTAATCAAGTTTTTTTGAATTTACCATTTGGCGCATCTACATTATTAAAATTTTCAATAATTGTCCGATTTATAACTTTATGTTTTTGGTTGAAATCTAATCATTAACATATTAACCACCAAAAGTGTCCAAGATTTTCGTAACAGAATGAATTTAAAACGTGAGAGTTTAAACTTTGTGGACCAGTAATGTATAAATAGACCGGTAATATGAATTCAGAATTTTTGTGATTATTTGTTGTATTCAGTAATTTTTTTTTTAAATACAGTTTTTGTTTTATTTTTATGTAAAATACAACAAAAATATTACATATAAATTTTTAATTTCCACGCATTTAGCTCAAATATCGAGTCAACTACATAATATATGTTAAAAGTTACCCGATTTAGTAAGTTTTTTATGGTTGAATCTAAACATCAACATAGTGACCAGTAAAAGTGTCGAAGAAGTAACAACAGATGGATAAACAACCTGAGAATTAAAAGTTCGTGGACCTGTTTTAATGTAAATGGACCAATAATGTGACGGTGAATAAAATTACACACATATCTTAAAGTCGCTTCAAGTTCAAAACTCTAATAATTGAATTACAGACCAACAGTTTTGGAAAAGCTGCAAGTATCAAAGAGACGACAAGTTTCATGGTGGTGACTTGTGTGAATGTGACATCTTAAAATCATTGAAACTTACTACCGCATCGCATCTTACTACGTCCTCACTATGCTCAAAAGCCAAGCCTTACCCTACCCAGTGTAGTAGTGTACCCACCCTCACATGAGATTTTCCAACGTTTTAAGAAAAAAATTAAAATGATTTATGGATTTTGGCTGAATTTGATTGTTTTCCGACCACAAGTTATAATTATGATTTGCTGAAACTAGAAAATATCATGTGCACAATATATGATTAAATTACAGTGTAATTAGTATAATCATTCCCTTTATTTTGTCTACTTATGGAATTATGTTTCATCCTCGTGCACTATATAAATGAGTCCCTCGAGTGCTACTTCAAATCCAAAGAAGATCCCTTTTTGGTTTGAGATCTCAGAGATACAAAATCCAAGTACTTTATGGTCTCACCAAACCTGTGAAAAAAGGGAAAGAAGAAAAAAAAATTTGAAGATGAATCATGTGATAAAAAAACCACTTTCCCAATTTTATTTTCTTTAATTTTAAATATACTTTGAGAATATCTAGCAATAGTTTGATAACTATATTTTGGAAAAAAAAAGTTTGTAGAATTAATTAACCAATAACATCATATACATTTTAAAACAATGACAAGATGAGTTGCTTCCATTTTATTTGAATAACACAAATGTGTTGGTTTTTATTTTTTCGTCAACACTAATGTGTGGTTCAAATTAATAAATATGATTTGATTAATACGTTCAATTATATTGAGTTTTAATTATTTTTATGGTACAAAATATTGAGATTTCATATTATGATCAAATAAATCAATAATTTATTGAAATTTATTTTAGTTGATCTTTGAATTGGGCCCTGAAAATACTCAAATCAGAGTCAGGAACCAATTCGGTGTCGTTTGGATAGAGCTTTAGCAAACGAAGATTGGCATGAATTATTCTGCAATTCGTTTGTTGAATATTTACCAATGGTAGCTTCCGACCATTCACCGGTGGTAGCTACGCTTATGGATAAGGTTCCACGTGGAAAAAGAAATTTTAGGTTTGATAAAAGATGGATTGGGAAGGAAGGATTACTCGAGGCAATTTCAAATGGTTGGAATTCTGACTCTGCGTTAGGAGAGGGAAATTTTGTGGAAAAATTGAAGAATTGTAGGCGGGCTATCTCGCAGTGGAGGAAAGATTTATCTCCCTATGGGCGGCAAACAATTGAGGAACTAAAATCGGAATTACTTGTGGCACAGAGAGATGATAGGAGACCAAGGGAGGAGATTACAGAATTAACCTTGCGGTTGAAAGAGGCTTATCGAGATGAGGAATTGTATTGGCATCAGAAAAGTAGGTGTTGTTGGATGCAATTAGGGGATAATAATTCAAAGTATTTCCATGCACTAACAAAACAAAGACGGGCTAGGAATCGAATAACGGGGTTACATGATGAAAACGGGGTTTGGTCGGCAGAGGAAAAAGATGTTCAAAATATAGCGGTGTCATATTTTAAGGATCTGTTTACTACAACTAATCCTGAGGTTTTTGAGGAATCTTTGGCAGAAGTGCAAACTTTGATTACGGATCAAATTAATAATTTTCTAACGGCACCCGCAACGGAATGTGAGGTGAGAACGGCTCTGTTTATGATGCACCCGGAAAAAGCGTCTGGACCTGATGGTATGACTGCTTTATTTTTCCAGAAGGCTTGGGTTACTATTAAAACAGATCTTCTTTGTCTGGTTAACTCTTTTTTAGAGGATGAAATTTTTGATAAACGGCTAAATACGACTAATATTTGCCTAATTCCAAAAACGGAAAGACCAACACGGATGACGGAATTACGGCCTATTAGTCTTTGCAATGTTGGGTATAAAATTATATCGAAGATCCTTTGCCAAAGACTCAAGACGGTGCTACCAAAACTGATATCGGAAACACAATCGGCTTTTGTAGAAGGACGTTTGATTTCGGATAATATTCTCATTGCACAAGAGATGTTCCATGGGCTAAGAACTAACCCATCTTGTAAAGGCAAATTTATGGCCATTAAAACGGATATGAGCAAGGCATATGATAGGGTGGAATGGATTTTCATCGAGAAGGTCTTAAGGAAGTTGGGCTTCTGTGAAAAATGGATTAAATGGATAATGTGGTGTATTACAACGGTCCAATATAGAGTTCTCCTTAATGGACAACCTAGAGGACTAATAGTACCAGAGAGGGGTTTACGACAAGGAGACCCGCTCTCACCTTATTTATTCATCCTTTGCACAGAAGTGCTCATTGCAAATATTCGGAAAGCTGAACGGGAAAAATTAATTACGGGCATCAAAGTGGCAAATGCAAGCCCTTCGGTTTCACATCTATTATTTGCGGATGATAGTTTATTTTTTTGCAAGGCTAACAAGGACCAATGCGGGGTAATTTTAGGGATTTTAAAGAAGTATGAAGAGGTCTCGGGACAACAGATTAATTTTTTAAAATCCTCGATTCAGTTTGGACACAAGGTAGATGATGATATCAAGGAAGAAATCAAATCTACCTTAGGTATCACTAATATCGGTGGTATGGGTTCTTATCTCGGATTGCCGGAGAGTTTAGGGGGCTCCAAGACAAAAAATTTCTCTTTTGTTAGAGATAGACTACAAACAAGGATTAACGGATGGTCGGCCAAATTTTTATCAAAAGGGGGAAAAGAAGTGATGATTAAATCGGTAGCTGTAGCATTACCAACTTATGTTATGTCGTGCTTCAGACTACCGAAAACAATCACTTCTAAACTTACTAGCGCGGTAGCAAATTTCTGGTGGAGCTCAAATGGTGACTCCAGAGGTATGCACTGGATGGCTTGGAACAAATTGTGCAATAGCAAATCAGAAGGGGGGATAGGATTTCGGAATGTGGACGATTTTAATTCAGCTTTACTAGCAAAACAATTATGGCGGTTGATTACGGTTCCAGATTCTCTATTCGCAAAAGTGTTTAAAGGACGGTATTTTAGGAAATCCAATCCTTTGGAAAATATAAAATCATATTCCCCATCGTATGGATGGCGGAGTATATGTTCAGCTAGATCTCTGGTTAATAAAGGACTTATTAAAAGAGTCGGATCTGGGACATCCATCTCGGTGTGGGAGGATCCCTGGATTCCAGCTCAATTCCCGAGACCAGCAAAAAGTAATGGTTCAGTTGCTGACCCATCTTTAAAAGTTAAAGACCTTATTGATAGTCGGTCAAATTTTTGGAATATTAATCTCTTAAGAGAGATCTTTAATCCAGAAGATGTCGCTCTAATAAGCGCCATACCTGTGGGTGCGCCAACAAAAGAAGATTTTTTAGGTTGGCATTTTACAAAATCCGGAAAATATACAGTCAAATCGGGATATCATTCTACACGGATGGAAAAGTCGGAGACCAATTTAAACTTTTTTGGCCCTAACATCAACCCGTTAAAAGCATATTCTTGGCAAGTGCAGTGTCCACCTAAGATACGCCATTTCATATGGCAAATCTTAACGGGATGTGTACCGGTTACGGAAAATTTACGGAAAAGAGGAATTGATTGTGACACGGGATGTGCCAGATGTGGCGCATCAGAGGAAACGATCAATCATACACTCTTTCAGTGCCACCCGGCACGACAGATTTGGGCGCTTTCACAGATTCCTACGGCTATGGGGATTTTTCCTACGGAATCTAATTTTACTAATTTGGATCACTTATTTTGGAGAATACCTACGGAAGTTGATTCATCAGCCTTCCCATGGATTATTTGGTATATTTGGAAAGCAAGGAACGAAAAGATCTTTGAAAACATAGACACAGACCCTTTAGAAGTATTACGATTAGCGGAAAAAGAGGCACAATTGTGGCAGTCCGCTCAAATTGAGCTCCATAATGAAAATCATGGTTCTGTGCACTTGGTAGATCGAATTCGAGTGAGGGATGTTTCACTTGAGGCGGAGTATTCGGGATACCGTTGTTTTGTGGATGGATCATGGAAAGAAAGTGATAAGTTCTCCGGTACAGGCTGGTTCTGTACATCGTCAAATGGAGAGCCGCCAACCATGGGAGCTGCGAACCTCCGTAGAAGTCTATCTCCACTACATGCCGAATTCGAGGCCCTTCTCTGGGCGATGAAGTGTATGATTGGTGCAGATAATCAAGAGGTAGCGTTCTTTACAGACTGTTCAGACCTGGTGAAGATGGTGTCTTCTCCAACCGAATGGCCGGCGTTTTCAGTGTATTTGGAGGAATTTCAGAGCGACAAGGAGGAATTTTCATCTTTTTCTTTATCTTTAATTTCTCGTAGGGCTAATGTTAAGGCGGATAATCTGGCACGAAAAGTTCGTACAGAACCGCTTCATATCACTTATGTAAATAACATTCCTCAGGAATGGCTCTTTTGAGCTTTAATTAATTTCGGATGACAAAAAAAAAAAAAGAGTCAGATTCAGCAGTTCTCTATTTCTTCCCAATGTTTATTTCTCCTGACTTCTGGTTCTGGTGTGGGCTTGTAACTAATTTCTATCAACTCGGCCCAATAAAAAATAGGCCAAGTCAACAAAGCCCATATATCAATGGTCAAACTACTTTGAAACTCTACCCAAAAATGTGACCATATCTTCCTTATCCATATTTTCTCACAAAATCTCTCTATTGCTCTCTGAGAAAACACAAAATGATGTCATCAATGGCACTTTCTTCTGCTTCCCTCTGTTCTTCTTTCATCTCTCAACATCCCAAACTCTCTATCACTGCTTCTCCTCCATTGTTCCATAACCAAACAACCAAACCCATCTCTGTAAAACGTAAAATCATAACTCTAGCAGCTCCAGAGACACTCACGGCTGAAACAGTCACCGGAATTGATACTTCCGACAACACTCCACAACAAACAACAAAGGTAAAACAACAACAACATAATCTTCTTCTTCTTGTCGTCTCTTGTGTTTCAAAACCAACAAATCTTTGTTTTTAGGTGGTGAAGCCAGATGAGAAATCAAGAGTAGTACTCAAATTTGTGTGGATGGAGAAGAACATAGGATTAGGATTGGACCAACATGTACCTGGACATGGGACAATACCACTTAGTCCTTACTTCTTCTGGCCAAGGAAAGATGCTTGGGAAGAGCTTAAGTCTACTCTTGAAGCTAAGCCATGGATCTCTCAGAAGAAGATGATCATTCTTCTTAACCAAGCCACTGATATCATCAATCTCTGGCAACAAAGTGGCGGCAATTTAACTTCACAATAATCTCTTTTTTCAATTTCTGCATTTCAAGAATTCATTTTCTTTGTCTATGATTATTATTATTGCTATTGAGAGTTTTTGTTTATCTAAACAATATATCCAATCACATTCGACATAAAAGATATAATTTTATTGCAAAGAGAAATGATAATAAGAAGCAAAAAATCAAGCAATTTTGAGTTGTTGTTTCCTTGAAGGACATATCAAACGCTTGATGGTCGAGATTTTGCAGAGAAGAGCTTCACCATATGACTTGGAGACTCTACGGTCACCGGAATATGTGCACGTTAGTGTTACTTTCTTCTCCAGGACACTCACCAATATTGAATAAGTTTCTGGTCCAAAAGAACAGAGAAAACAAGCATGAGAAGAAGAACAAAAAGTGTCTCATCTCGGAAGTAAGTAAACTGTTTTCTCACCGATCATTCTTGACATTATGTCGGCGACTTTCTCTTGGCAGTCACTACATCTGATGTCTGCTGATAGAACAATCTCCTGAATCTGATAACAGAGACCAAATCTATAAAAGAATCCACAGAGTTGAATCATTCAAAGACCAAAGTGTTAAAAGAGTAAGTGACTAACAAGTGGCATGGATAACGATGCGACAGAAGCAAGACTGGTTTCACTTGTTCTTGAAAGCTTGCTTCTTAGTGATGCTCCAAGTTCTTCCTCGACGATTTCAGACAGAGTAGCCATGACACTCTCGTTGCACAGTAGATAAAACAGGAATGATGAATCCTTATAGATAAATAAAACAAGAATCAAGAATCCTAAAGAAACCACCAAACCGAGAGTGGGAAACGAAGAGTGTCGTTTTCCGAAAAGGACGAGTTAGCAAAACTAGTGACAGAGGAAGCCCATCTTTGCTTTTGCTTTAATCTATGGAGAAAACTAAGTTTAAAGACTCAAGAGACATGGTAACACACAAAGACAGATATAATATATGCTTTGGATCCATGACTTAGTGTTCATTTATCTGAGTAAGAAAGTCAAGACCTTTTGGGTTTCCTCTTTATTTCTAGATTGCATTGTTTGAAAAAGATGCTTCACTCACCAAAATGAAACCCCACCAAAATCATTCAAGTTGGAGGATTACTTCTGAGTTCTGACTTAGTCTTTAACAAATTTAAATAGCTCTTACCTTTTTCACCATACCCTACCTTTTGGTAAGCCAATCATCTATAGCACAAAAAGAGATGATATTAGGTAAAAGTTTAAAATGGGTTTAAGATAACACACTCAACTTTTCATCAGTGTTAGTAGTTTCTTACAAGCACTCTTACAGTCTTGTACAGACCAGACTGTCTCTAAATGAATTATCAAAACGGAATTATGGTCCCAGATTCCAGAAAAACATCAATTGATACCAGCTAGTTACACAACTTACAACCAAAGAGCATCAATATCATTTATTGGTCCCCTTTGGATGCTGCACAAAACAAAACCCTATGGGGACATGGACATGGCCATGGACAAGGACATAGTTAATTTATGTACCATTAAGATAATCAAGTGTCCTCAACTTCGAGTATCAAATAATGCAGCAGCTAATCATAATATTCAACACAGGTAAGAAAGGTTTGTATCATATGGACACTGAAGACGAAATCAAGGTAAGGAGATGGTTTTATTTGGTGATACATAGGTTACATGAAAAGATAGATCCCAACAGACCAAAAAGAAAACAAATCATCTCTATGCTAAGAGAGAAAAAAAGATAACTTAATTCTAAGCAGAATAAAACACTGATTAACGCCTAAAACACTAGCAAGGTAATGCTGTTATTACCTACTTCTACTGCATCCAAAATTTTGCTGATTGTATTAAAGCTCTATGCCCTACTGTTACAACATAAGTACACAAACGAATTTGGATGCCATTACGAGCTAATCCTATAATCCATCCCACAAAATCTTGCGAGTCACCAGTAATCTATAACCCAAAATCGCATTGAGCAGATGCCCATCAGGTAATATGTACCTCACAAGAAGAAATGCAACTTTATCCCCAAGCTGATGATCATCTCGACATTAATAGACCTGTCAAAGGCTGCCCAACCGAAGAACCAAAATCATCTCCCATGAACTTACAGTTCTCACAATCCAAAGATCTTTCACTAGAGAAACCATTATTCAAGCTAGGATCGTGTGGACAGCAACTGACAACTCGATTGCGTTTCCTCGATGATTTTTTCCACTTTAAGTCAGAAGTGACTAGGACATCTTTTAGAAGATCTGGAATTGGTCGCTTAGGTAATGACTTTTTGGTTGTAGCTACTGGAAGAGAGATGGTACGTTTAGCCTCACCCTTTGCTGACATCACACCATTACAAACCCCAACATCAGATGGCTTCTCATCATGTTTCACCTCCGCCTCTTCTTTCTTCATCAAAGACAGGACAGAACTCACAATATCAGATCTTGATCTTATGTTTAGCCACTCATCATCTAACCATTCCCGAGATTGTCTAAGGTCGCTACGATGGAAGGCAGACATTTTCTTTTCACCTGAGAGAAAACAACCAAAACAGCAAAATTAGTCCCCACAAAATAATATATAGATCTCAACAAATTTGCAATAAAAATTTGCATTCAGAGGTTTATTAACTAACCTGGCAAGTAAACTTCAAATTTCTCTTCAGAAACTTTCTGCACCACAATCCCTTCCCACCACCCATCACACCACCACACATCCACAGGCATACCAACCCCGATGACACATACATCATTTTCTTTGCCGGGCTTCAGCATTGGTCGTACTACTTTCCGTCCTTTGATTCTAAGACCTCCCAGATCATCACCACCAGCAACCCGAGATGTCAAAATCCACTCCTGCGACAAATACATGCACAACATGTTATCAAACTGGGCAGTAGAACCAAAACCAAAACCTAAACGTGGGTTTTAAAATGTGTACCTCTAGCTTTTTAGATTCATCATCTGCATCCTGAATATCTTGGTACTGGACCTTAACCTTATCTTTGTGTTTCTTTAATATCAGTGCCTTAAACCAACAACCTCTGATGCCACTATCTTCAGAAAGAACTTCAACAAGTGAACCCTTTTTAATGTGATGTGAAGAACCATCTTCTGCACCCTTGCATATAGAAGCATCTGAAGCACCCAAAACAGAATCTGGACTAAATTTGCAGTCACCTTTGATGTCACCTGCGGATGGTAGATTCAAAGTACCAACAGGACTAGGACGACGTCTTTTCCTTGATCTAATCCCCACACAACCAACCAATGGAGCTCCTAATCCTGGGTCAGTACCAGGTGCTTGAGCACCTTCACCTGATTTTAAAACGGATACATTCAAGTATCTAAGCATTTCTTGTTTCCAGTAACCTTCTAATTGTGTAATGTCATAGGGCTTTATGCCATCATCTCCATATAATTTCTGGCAGAAGAAAGATACTGGCTGAACATGCATTGGCACCTTAAGAAATTTCTCATAATGCTGAGGACTGAGGACAGTAGCCAAATAATCTATGCACTCAATGCTGATATCTTGACGATAAAGAGAAAAGAAAATCTCTCTGTCATTAATATCATCAGGTAAAACAGAACCAACTTCCTCAGTTTTGTGAAACCATCGTACCACAACCATCTTCTTCCCTTTAGAATCCTCATAAAGATCTTCCAAATATGCAACAAGTCTCTTATTTTGCTCCGCTAAAACATACACAAAATCATTCACCTGCAATTAATTCGTGAAAACAAAGTAATGTGAGCTTTAGCACAAGGAAAACTAACAGCAAATCACACCAGCTAACTTCAATAAAAACATTAAAATAAACTCACAGATATTCTAACACCATTCCGGAGAAAAGATTGATAATGCTTACGCCGTTTCCTACAAGTCCAAGAAGAACCCATCCAGGAGAACGTTTTGATCTGCTCAATAGGCTCCTGAAATTTCCCATTCTGATAAGAATCAAAAGAGAAACCGATTAATATTTTTCATTATCTAACAAGAAACTCTTAAGATTTAGTTAAAGCAGTAGTACCATAAAAGTGCTCATATTTAATCCTCCAGCATCTTTTTCAGTCATAACAGTAGCTGGTACATCTGCTACATGAGGCATCACACCTAAATAATTAAAGAAAAGCAGTAAACAAAAGATCAGCAATACACATCAATAAACGTTGATCTCTAATTAGAAAATCAAAAAAAACTTGAAAGAAAATATCAATTCGTGCAGACATGCTCAGTACCAAAAGGTGGAAACCGGATCTGTCTGCAGCAAAATTAAGTCATTAATAGGTTTAGCTGCAAAAGTCGCAACGGAACCAGTTAACATCTAAATACCCATAAAATCAAATTATCGAAAGAAAACAGATTCTTCAGAAATTTAAGAAATTGATACGAACCCAGATCTAAAATTCGAAATCTATAAAAGGGCAGAGAAGATTTCGAAACAGAGAATGAGAAAATTTACCAGAAACAATGGAATCGAGCCAATTAGCAACATCATCTTTGGAATTAAGCTTTTTCAAAACAGAGCGATTCTTCTTCAAAGCATATCTAAAAGACATGCGTTTAGAATTCTTCAACCTCCCAATAACAGCTAGATCTGCAATTCCATCTTTCCTCTCGAGGTAATAATGAACCTCCATCTTTCCTTTCGTGTTCTTCACATGTAGCTCATTCCAGCCGCAATACGACGGCGTTTCCGACGACCACGCCATTATCGAATCTCTCTCAAATCGGAGGAAGAAAAAAAACCTAATTTGAGCTCTTGGGTCTCTCTCAATGCGCGTGAAGTGATGGAAAATTGAAGAAAGAGAGAGCTTTTTGGAGGCGGAATTTGAATAATATAAAAAAAAAACAGAGGAGGGAGGAGATTAGGGTTTCGAATTTGGGGATAAGATTAAGGGTTGTGATTGGATCCACGTATATGATTCGGAAGGAGCGTCAGTTTGTAAATTACGGTATTATCCTCTAGTATTAGAGAATATTACGATAGTACCCTTGAGGAGGGGTTTATTGCTTCCGTCACGATTTTGGAATTTTTAAAACGGAAAAAGGGACAAAAGACAAGTTGTGTAATAAAAATTGAAACGCGTGATTTACGGAGTTTTTATTTATTTTAGAAGACTTGTTCTATTTATTTGCCAGCTGTGCTTTCACGTCTTTTTGGATTTTTTTCTTTTTTTAGGTGTTTCAGTATCTGTTAGTATTTATTTTAATTTTTGGATCTTGGTAGAAAACTAAATATAGAAATAATATATATTCTTATCTTTTGACTTTGATCGAATTTTGGGGAAGTTTTCAGATTTGTGGTAAATGGAACGATGTGTTTATGAAAAGATTGCACAAAAAAGGAAACAAATAATTTCGGACATATATCTTTTTAGTTTGGATAATGTATATGGATCCAATCTATATCTCTATAAACTATATAAATAGAATTAGTCTCTCTTTTTTTCTTACATCATTAGAGCTATTTGTCTTAACTCTTAACTGATTATAAAATCAATGCATTTTTTGTTGACAAAAGATGGTGGATATGTTTTCAACTTTTCAATATTCAATATGGTAATAGTTATTGGGCCTTATGGCCGCAATCTCAAATTAAACGAAGACTTGCAATATTTTTTTTTTCGCAACACTTTGGTTTCACAAATCAACAATATAATTGTTCCACCATTAATGTATTCGTCTTTCGGCCCCTTTGTACTACTTTCGGCCCAATATGGCTTATTGCATCTTCAATCATTTTTCACTTTTCTAAATACTAGCAAAGACAACCAAATATAATATGAAATCAGTTTTATAACACGGTTTTAGTTTCATTTTTTAACATAAATAATATTCATGCATGATCGATTCTTTTTATTTTTCGATTCAGACTTGTTTCAATTTTATATTCTAGTGTTAATCCAAAGTAAAATTGGTTTGGAATTTACGTATGCTGTTTTAATTTAATTCGGATCGGACTAAATGAGTTTATCAATATTGAAAACCCACAACAATGGACAAAGCCTTTTTTTTTTCTTTTTTTTGGGCAAATAAATGGACAAAGTCATTCTTTCTAATTTTATTGAATTGATAAATACATATTACAACTATACTAATTTAGTAATTTTACATTACACACCCAACAAGACTCATGCATCAACTAAACTCCTATTGGACAACTGCAATTCATCTTTAACCGGACTACTCTCTTCCTTGCTATGATGCACCTGAACCGGTTTATACGTGTAAATCTTGGCGCACCATAGATAATACACAAGATTAACAGCTTGTAACACTGTAATCAACCAGTAAAAATACTCAAGCCTCCCTCGGTTCAAATTGTTATCCGGTAACCAATTGCTCCCATCCGGTTTAGCACTGAATTTATGAACCAAAGTCACTAGCAAAGTGCTCACATAGTTTCCGATCGAAATCGCCATCCAAAAAAGCGCCGTCGCCGTGCTCCTCATACTCTCCGGCGCCTGATATTAAATGAGTTACTAAATCGTTAGTTATTCGGTTACATAAGTTAGTTAGTTAGTTAGTCAGTTAGTTAGTTAGTTAACAAAGTTAGTTATACTCTGCTTTGCAAAAAAAAAAAAGTTAGTTATACTCTGCTTTATAAGAAAAAAGTTAGTTATACTCTGCTTATATAAGAGACTTTGTATAGTGTTTTCATTACCTGATCGTAGAAGAACTCTAAATGCCCGATAGACATGAAAGCTTCCGCGACTCCATGGAGACCGTACTGAGGAATCAACCAAAGAAACGAGATTGGAACAATCGTGTGAGGTTTATCGAGGAGACCGTGCTCAATCGCGACTCTTTTTCGCTTGATTTCGACGAATCCAGCAACTAGCGTGGCGATTATCGAGATTACGAATCCGATTCCCATACGGTGGAGGAACGTGATGCCTCTTTCGAGTCCGGTGAATTTGCGAGCGACTTTGACGAAAATGCGGTCGTAAAAGACGATTGTGGTAAGCATTGCGATAGTTGTGAAGACGGACATTGAACCGGCTGGGATTTGGAAGGAGTTTGTTAGGTGACGGTTCATGGTTTTGGCTTGTTGTAGTGAGAAGGTTCCTTGTTGAGCATAGGCTGTGATTAGGAGAATCCCGGAGGCTCCAATTGGACCCATTCGGATCACGGATTTGAGTTCTTCGACTCGGTGGACTGTGCTTAGCCTCCAATGGTTGGGGATTTGGCCCGGTTTCAAATTGTCTTGCTCCGTTACTATTGCCGCCTTGTCCAAGAAACTAATATTAAGAGCAGAGTTAGTTGATTATAAGAATAGTGCAATCATTTTAGAATAAATTTGGTGAAAATGTTAATTCTTAGTTAGTTAATGCTTGGTAGAAATGTTTAGTCCATTGATGCATGCAGTTTTTATTAGGTTTTTAAGATTTTTGCTTAAGTGTTAGAGTTTAGTTTAGATTTGCTATAGAATTTTTGTTTACAGAATCGAAAGAAAATAGCTCGTGGTTTTGTGAGAGAAAGGTAGATGGAGAAAAATAATAATTATATGTCATAGGAGCACTAAACAATTAAAAACTTGAATGGTTATTTTACTAAAATTTATAGAAGAAACAAACTTTATTGGTGATTCAGTTAGTTTTTAAAAACCAAAAATTCCTTTAAAATCTATAACCACTCTAGGTTTTAGATTATACAAATTGAGCAAGACAAATATGTGACAGATGAAAAGGGATTAAGGCCAGTCATTATATAATTATCTAAATCTTAATTACTATTTTCGAAATGGGTCCAATATCCAATTATTGCTATATAGTATATGCCAAAAAAAAAAAAAGTGACAACTTTGATATGTTGTCCTCTTGCTTTTGGAATTGCCTTTTATTTACAATGAACCACCGATCACAATTATTATGTAAGTTTTTGGATGTATTTTGTAGTTTTACTTTTAGTTTGTCTGGTTTCACCCAGTGGACAAGTTGTTGTACGATTACTCAATTGTTTACGTTTACTATATTGAGTTTTAGTCTTCATGTCGTATTGATAGAAATATCATTATTCAGATTCAGATTCTTATACGTCTCCTCATGACTATCGATCTGGATATAAAATCAAACATTTACATGAATAGAATCATTACCTCATGTGTTTGGTGTGGGTAAGTTTACCACCTAAGGAGATAGGAGCATCAATCTCATCGTTGAAATAGAGAAGAGAAGGATCAGAAACCATCCTCAGTTTCCTTTTACGAAACGCCGCGACTCCCACTTGGATCAAGCGGGTAAATGGACTACCCGCGGGATCCAAGTGACGGTAAAGCTGGAAACCGCCGACAAAAGCAATAACGGATAAGAACATAGCTACTGTCGGGATGCCTAAACCTAGACCCCACCCAACGTTATCTTGGATCCACACAAGAACCGTCACCGCTAGTAAAACTGCTGCTCCCATGCAAAAGTAGTACCTATAATGCAAACCCATCAACATAATTCATTATTTTGGGTTATAATAAGTATAACTATACTTTATTTTCAATTTAATTAGAAAACTATCAAGGATATCTATCTGTATAATAAATTCTTTAAACTCTATTAAATATAAAACTCTATTAACAACGCATCGAGTATAACCATCAAACTTGCACATAAATATTGATCTTACGACTTTTAGAACACTTTCATTAAAAAAAAAGGCCAATAGCTAATAGTTACATTTTTTACTTAATAGTTGTGTTATAAAGTCATGTTAGCTATTTAGTCTCTTATAGGGTTAAGACAAAATACAGTATTATATGTTTCAAACATGTTAGGTCATCCTAGTACTATTTCAATAATTAGATACCTTTATAACCACTTCAAAAAATAACAAAAGTTATTATATATAAGGGTTTTAATTATAGATATAAATGTAGAAAGGTACGTATAAAAATACCAGTTGAAGTAGTTCCAAGTTTTGGTGGTTTGATTAGGATCCGACTCGTCGAACTGATCAGCACCAAAAGCAACAACACATGGTCGGATCCCACCCGACCCGAGAGCTCCAAGAAGAAGAGCTACGTATAATATACTCAATTGTGCTGTGTCAGCTACTACACAAACCTCTTCTCCTTTACATGGTGGTGGCCTTAACGTTGGTATTATTGCCGATATCGTAAGCAAAGTCATCCCCTGTTTTTTTATTCCCATTTAAAATTTCTAGTAAAATAGAATGATCGAGAAAATGTAAACTAGACTAAGTTTGGTCCAAAGAAACTGAGCTTTGTTTTTTTCCAACGGTTTTTCAGTGATTTTTCAGACAACTTCTTTGTATATATATAAACTTACGATTTGATAGATGATGGAAGCAAACGTGATGGTCCAGAACCGGCCGGCGAAAGAGTCGGCGATAAAGGCACCAAGGAGAGGAGTGAGACTCGAAGTTCCGGCGAAGTTTGTGAGAGTGTTGGCTGCTTTGGTTAAGGGAAGGTGAAGCTGTGTTGTTAAGTAACTTATCATGTTTGCGTGAAACCCAACCACCGCTAATTTCTCACATATCTCGTTCGCTGAATATATATCATTAGAGATTATATATCAACTTCATATTTTTCACAAAAGATCAAATAATAATCATATTGGATATATATTATTGTTTCATACCGAAGATGAAGGGCATGGTAATTAATCCTCCCTTTGGTCGATTTGGTCTCCCATGAAGTTGTTTTTCTTCTTCACTGATCTTGTTCATGCTTTGCTCTTCCATGATGTTTCTGAGTGTTTCTTGTAATAATTAGTTATGTTTTATATATTAAGTTTGTTGTAAAACTTGTAAGTGTTGAGAATGGT